AACCAGTGATTTTTATCATGGATAATTTCCTATTTGTCTTTTGTGCTGTAGCAGGAAAGAAATGGAGGTAGAGTTCTTACACTGGATAGCCTTGTTTCATCCAGGATCCCATCAGAGGGTATGAGTATTTATCTTTGCATTAAAATAAAATTGAAGCATATTGTTAGGATTTAGGTTTTCGATTAATTAAGTTGTCATTCTGCCTTTTGTTGACTGTCCTTCCTATATGCAAGATGCAAAAATTCAGAGAGCAAATCTATCAGTATATGATTTAGTGATATGATTATGATTCTGTGATTACCGCTTGTTTTCACTTTGTATTTTTATATCAGCATGAGAAAAATAAATATTTAATATCCCTGTGAAATGTGATAAAACTTTTTTTTTAGGTTTTCATGAAGAATGACACGCTTGAAAGATTGGGAGTGGGAAGAGAGATTAAAATTAGTGTCTTGAAATACAGATGAAATCTGTTGCATGAAGGCAATGTGCGCTATTTTATTGCTATATGTGCTTAACATTAGCAAAATAACTGATATTAGTAACAGAATTACTTATTTTTCTTTATTTTAGAGAAAGAAATATTTTATTTTACCAGCATCCCAGTTAAGATGCTTAGAAATGAGAATATAACCATTTTAATCAAACAAACAAAAAGAAAATCCAAAAAGCCTTTGGAAAATATTTTGGATGATATCTCTAACTTAGAAAGGAATGAGAAGAAGAATGTCATAGGATGGCTGCTGTTGATGAGGCACAAAAACCTACAGGTTGTGTTCTAGTTCCTGGCATTGAAAGCACTTTCAAATGCTGCAGCATTCTTCTTATCATGCCTGCCATGCCGACTTTACTTTCGTTCTCTTTGTTCTCAAGGCAGTAAATGCCATTTCTCACTTACTTTCTCATCCTAATTTGTCCATAAACTGTCCTTAAGAGCAAATGGTCAGTACTGGATATTAGAAAGGCATTTAGGACGCTGAAGGCTCCAAATGGAAGATGTTTAGGCTGGGAGGAGGGACGTCTTTGCAGCATGCTTATTCATGAGGAAATGCAATGCACTCTTCATTCTTCACCACCTTCTTTGCATAATAAATACATTTTCGAACCTTGATTTGGTAGGGTCTTTGAAATTAGCATCTCATTTCATGACTCACGATAGAAGAGGTAGGCTGACATTTTCATATTAATCATGTATATAAAGGGAACGAATGTGCCAGGAGGGAAATACCAAGTTTCCATTGCACAACTGTATTTTACTGGTCCTTCCCATGAACTGGTCTTAGCTGGTCTGCCAGAACCACAAAGCAGTTGGTTTGTGTATCCTTAATACCGATTTATCTGTGAGGAAAAGGAAACAGCAGGCATGGTTGCTATCAGTGTTCCTGCAGCTGAAGAACCTGTCTTCCTCCCACCCCATTCCTTGAAAGCCAGCTATTTTCTGTTTCAACCTCCCTTTAAAATTAATAACCTGTCAAACCTACGCATCTGACTCGCCTATTCTGAATTGTCTTGTGGAAAATGTTCAGCTGTTCAAGGGAGAGAAATTTGCTTTTGGGGTTGGTGGTGTCCCTCCGAATGAGATGTTCTGGAACTGCAGAGGGATGGCAAGGCTCAAGATCTCTTTTCTCAGTTGGAAGTTATTCTAATAATTGCAGACCTAAATGTTAAAAGACATTTAGTCAAGGTTTATTTTGCTTTGGCTACATGCGTACAATAACAAGTAGTTCAAAAGGGAGTGCAAAGCCCGGCCGCTGGGGAGGAACAGCCCCAGCTGGAAAGCAGCTTGACTGAAAATCACCTGGTGGGCACCAAACTGAAGATGAATCAGCCATGTGGCCTTGTTGGAAAGAAAGCAAACGGTATGCTGGGCTACATTAGGAGGAATGGTGCCAGCAGGTAGAGGGAGGTGATCCCGCTCCTTTATTCAGCACTGGCGAGGCCTCACCTGGAGTGCTGTGTCCATGTCTGGGCTCCACAGTAAAAGGAAGACATGGACATATCACAAAGAGTCCCACAAAGGGTGAGGAAGATTAGAGGGCTGATGAGAAAAGTCTGAGCTGGGACTGTTCAGGCTCGAGAAGGCTTGGCGGAGGAACTTACCTATGTATACAAATCCCTGAAGGGAGGGTGCAGAGGATGGAGCCAGGCTCTTTCAGTGGTGCCCAGTGCCAGGACCAGAGGCCATGGGCGCAAACTGAAACACAGGAGGTTCCCCCTGAACATCAGGAAACACTGTTCCACTGTGAGGGTGACCAAGTGCTGGCACAGGTTGCCCAAGAAGACTGTGGAGTCTCCATCCTGGGAGATACTCAGAATCTTCTGTGACACTGTCCTGGGTGATGCGATCTGAGTGATCCTGCTTGTGCAGAGCAGTTTGACCAGATGAATCCCAGAAGTCATTTCCTACCTCAGCAGTTTTGTGATTCTGTAATAAGCAGCACGACTGCTGGGAAAGCTGGAATGATGTAGGCTTTGCTGTTTGTTTGAATTGCATCAGTTGAAGCAGTGCTCTTTTTTTTTTTTTGCTTCTCAACAAGGGGTAGAAAAAGTAGGTTTAATGTGTAAAAGTAGTTTATAAGCTATACAAATAGGTGATAATTTAGAGATTTTAAACATGCTAGATGTCTCAATAGCATGTTGTGAAGTAAAGAGTAATGATGGTTCACAGAATAATGAAGCTTCCCAGAAAACTAAGCAACTAATATGCCTCTGTACACACATCATCATCAGAAAAAATACTGAAGCAAGATCATGTGCAACCCCCCCATGGCTTACAAATACAGGTGGAATGTCTATACTGCCAAATTAATGCATTTCTGTGATCTGTTTTGTTCTTTGCTGCCAGAAGCTGCTGTTTGACTTGTATTACCTATATCGTCCTGTTCTGTCAAAGATTAACATGTGGCATCTGTGACAGTGAAACTTAGTTTGCAGTATGACAACAAGAATAGTTTTTTGTGAACTCTAGATCTGTAGATAGACTTGAGGTCAAGATAATTATCTGCACAATTTTTCCTGCTTTAAATATTTTGTTTTATTGACATTTAGTGAAGTTCCTGGATTTTGTATGTGACTTTGTGGCTATTTTAGATCATTTTATGACCCAAGTTAAAACAGTTTTATATTATTTTATTTTTCAATCTAGCAACTTCTGTTCTGAAATTTGGATTTGAAGGGATTGGATGAAGGTTGAGGGGGAAGCACTGTGCCCCTGTAACGGCAGCAGCTGCATTGCTCCCTGCTTCTCTGTTTTGCAGCCTGGCAATGCTCAGACCTCATGTTAACAAATGTGCTTAGAAATATTGGTAGAGTAAGGCAGCCTGACAGAATCTGTTTATTTGCCTGCTGTACATGTGAATGTTGCTTTATAAGCTACCTTTATCATAGGTAGTATAGATGTATATATGTGTATATACATGTATATACATATATACATTTCAGTGTCTTCAGAGGAAGTGCCCTTGTCCTTGAGTATGATATCCTTGGAGAAGGATATTTCACGTGAAAGTTGTCTGTGCTAGCCCTGAATTTCAATGTCTTGATCAAGTGTTTCAGGCACATCTGAAAGAATATTGCAGTTTTGTCGGTTTAATCTCTGTTAGCACAGACTGCTCATGTGGAACGCTGCTGTGTTTGATTAGATACTGTATGTTTGTCCCACTGTCAGTTCTGTTTAGAGGTGTTTTATTTCTGTGGTTTGGAAATTAATATATTAATGAGCTAACATAGAACAGAAAGTAAGTTGGAACTTCTGCAGGGCAAAGAATTTAAATGGATAAGATTTATTTTACATAGGATTAAGCTGCTGTCACTAGATATTGCTAAGGCTATTGAAGTTGTCAGTAAGACCACAGCTTCCCCTGTACAGCATTTTAGACTGAATTTTAAGAACAAAAGGTGTGACTCCTTAGTTCACCAACTTCTAATATGCCTTGTTCTTGGAAGAAGAAGAGATCTGTACTATAGAGTTGAGCTCATGTTGGTTTTGAGCATCTGCATTTTTGGAGAAGAGCCTGTTTGTACTGACTTCCTTAATACCTTATTTTTTAATTATTCTTTTTTTTTGAGCACGAGTAATTTCAGGCAGTATGAGTGAATATCAAGATTATTGACTCTTGGTTATAGAAAACTGCTATTAGGGTGCTGCTGAAAAGAAAGTAAAGGCCAAGTTTGGCCTTGAGTATTTCAAAATCAGAGTATCTGACTCGTTACAAAGAAATTGTAGCTATGCATAGTTTGATCTTTGGTTTCTCAAATGCTTCAAGTATATCAAGTGGAATTGGATGTAAACTAGCATCAGTCATTTGAATAAACAGTTAACCTAGTGAATATAAAGCAAAATATTTGGATTAATATTTGAAAACAGGTTAAAATAATTTTCTGTTGTGTTTTCACTGTACCAGGAAAGGGATTTGCATATGCTGGGAAAATAAATGTGATATTTGTTTACCAGAAGAATGTAACTATCTGCAAAAGCACCAGAATTACTTGAGTGAGTTTAAAATTTTGCCAGTAGTGGGGCTAAGGGATTTTCGGAGCTTTAAAACTTATGTGAAAGTTACTTGTATGTGCTCAAAACCTACTTGTATCTCCTGTATCAACATGCAGTTTCTGATATTCTCTTGCTGGTGTGCATATTTTATGTGATTTGTTAGGGACACAGATACATGAGAGCAGTTTTCAAAAAATAGTTTGTTTGCAATACTGTGTTTTTAGACAATTTCCATAATATTTCTGTCCTTTCAATAACAGAGTTCCTTAAAAAGATGGGTTGCAGCTGTGATTTTAAATATTTGTTTTTCTTCACAGGATACCTACACGGAACACTTTTTTCTAAACCCTGGCTCTGTATTTTTTATTAATAAAAATATCTGTATTTGTGGCTGAAACGTTTGATACAAAAAAAAAATTTGCATTGCCTTTGTACCAGACTTCCCTGAACACCCATCTTTTCGATAAAGGTTTTTTAGCGAGAGTGTTTATTTTCTTGTTTTTTGTAGCAAATTCTGAAATCGAGGTCTCTGTGTCTGCAAGAAATGTGAGAAGGTTGCTTAGTTTCCAGCGATACCTGAGATCTTCCCGTTTTTTCCGTGGTATCACTGTTCCAAATTCTTCAAACATTTTAGATGATGATTATAATGGACAAGCAAAGGTTGGTTGCTTGATTTTTATTTTTTTAAGTATGTTTTTTAAAATGCTTGCTAGTATATAAAACTATATCACGTGTTGAAAGTACAACCAAATACAAATTTTAAGCTTTTTTTTAATATATGTGTGTGTATGTATTTTTGTGCATTTATATAGATATATCTTAATAGTTTGCAACAAACTGCCTACTAGTGTAGTGGGATGATTTTTGTGGCTAGTGTTTTTCTTTCTTTCTTTTTTTTTTTTTTCCTAATAACTGGTGAATGAAGGGTGCACTTTAAAAACATGAAGAAAGGAAAATGTATCTGTATATAAGGGATGTAATGAAGCAATTTGGACAACTATTCCCTTTCATTTTTAGTCTAACATAACTAAAGAACATCTGAAAGAGTGACTACCTGCTACTGCAAACTCAGTAAAATGCAGTAAATTGATTTGTCAGGACATGTTTATGCCAAACTGACTTTTTCTTTGCTAGGCAGTTCTTTTAGAAAAGAAAACTGTTATAGCTATAATATGCCTGTGTGGCACTAAAGCGGGGAAAACAGGTACTGGGAAGAGAGGTGGTGTTAAGAGAGCAGCTACCTGGATAAAAGACTAGTGTATTGGGGACAGAGGTCAAATAGTGCTGAAGGAGACTAAACAGGCAAAGATGATTCAGGTTATTCAAGATCCCAAAGGCTGTGTGTCACTGCATTTAGTGCTTTTTTATTTGTCATATTGACACAAAAAAGGAATATACTTACACAGTGGACATCTCCAAGCTGAACATGATCAGGCTGTGGTGTAGAAAAAAATGTGATAACCTGGAGGATGGATCTTAAAAAAGTAAATGTAATTTAATAGTATAGAGAACTTGTTAATGTTCTTGTTTTCTTGGGTAGCAGAGTTTTAGCGGCTGGTAGAGAAAAGCTAGAATGCTTTTTGTTTGCATAATTGGATTATAAAACAGCTCTACCAATCTAATGAGAATAGGAGAAGGCAGGAGTCTGTCGTAAAATGTGCTGGACAGGGATTTGTGATACAGGTAGGGGAGCCAAAGATCGGGATTGCTGAACTCTGGTGAGGCCTCGTGTGCTGTTTGGTGTTCTTGCTGATCCCTCTTGCTGGAAGGACAGTTCATGTGAAGCTGCTGGGAAGATGTGCTAGTTCACTGAGGTGGAAAGTCAAAAGCTAGGTTTGTAAGGAATTTAAAATGCATTATGGCTCATATAATGGTTAAAATGCAAATGGCTCATGTATCTAGTAAATCATCTAGATACTATTTCTCTTCTGTAAGCAGGAAAAGACAGAAAATGAGGTCAAAGACTACACAGATTTATTTGATAATTCATTGAAAAACTGAAGTCTGAATTGTCTGAATTTCTTTCACATTGTTTCTGGTTTTAACCTAATTGTTTTAAAATTGTGTCTTGCTTCTTTTGAGAAATTAAGTAAAGGATGAAAGGAAAATCTCCAGCCAGTTCCGTCAAGGCACTTCTTGGTTTTTCCAGCTTTTTAATTTGTAACATGCATTTTGAAGTTTTTCAGTTATCAGACAAATTTAGTTATTCTTTTACTACTTTTTTTTGTACGTATGTAGGAATCCTAAGACTTGATGTGTCTCTGAAATCTTAAATACTCTTCCAGGTTACAGGAAGGTAGACATACGCTGATTAAAAAATGACAGCTTTTGTATTTTCTTTCAGTGTATGCTGGAGAAGGTTGGAAATTGGAATTTTGATATTTTTCTTTTTGATAGACTGACAAATGGTGAGTTTACTTTTGCTATTTCATCTGTTTTATCTCCTAGCATAACTTAACTGTGGCACTTATGTTGCAGTGTATGATTCACTAAAAAGCACAAATTTCATCAGGCAGTACTTTTTGGTTTAATAGTGTTTAATCTAAGTCCTAGTTTGCCTGGTCACTCCATTAAAATAATGATGCTGTCAGTGCTGATAATAATCATTGATTTGTAGAAGAACCCCTTCACATACTTTGTACTTTCTGTACTCTTTTAGTAATTTGTAGCAGTAATTTCATATAAATTAACAAATAATTTTACTGTCTTAGACTTTTTTTTCCAATTATGGGTTTGCTGGTAATTTATATGCTTGTGTCCAAAAGGTCATTTAGACTAAACAAGTATTTTTCTGATAAATTTCAAGTTTGATAGGTCTATTGCTTTATAGTGCAGTGAGAAGGCACGTTGGTGTGAATGCATTATAATTAGGACATGTAATAGAACACCTGGAGAATTAGGAGCTGAGCAGAGGGAAGCTGCTGTACCCACATCTTGCACAAAGTAGAAGAAGGAGAACATTCTGGTTAGTTTTGAACGCTCATTACAAGTAGCAGTAGGAACTGCGAAAGTATTTGGTTAAAAAAACACTGAAGTATTGTTTAATTTATGGACAGACAGAAAAGAGATCTATAAAAGTGCTGGAAAGGAGGAGGGAGGGCTGCTGCAGTGGATAGGGTGAATATTTGTATCATAATCACAGCGATGGAAGCTGGATTTTGAATAAAATGGAAGGAGGAGATAAGCAAGTCCAGCGTCACAGTGACATTTGTGCCAGTGTGGGAAGAGAATGAGGGGCAGCTCTTGCAAGTCTTACATCATATGGAGTAGGTAGCAGAATTGCAATTAGAGCGTTGAAAGTTTTGCATCCTAATTAAGTAATTTTAGGAGGACATTTTGATCAGGCAGCCTTGTTCCTAAAAGTTTTTAAGGGCAGAATGCTGTTTATGAAACTCTGCTGGATGAGCTGCCCTGGATGAACCTCTGAGAAACAAATTACCTGGTAAATGTTGTTCCAAGAATTGCATATCTCATAGTGAGGAAGTGGCATGCACATAGGAATACATTAAGCCCAGTAATAAGCAAGATTTAGCAGAATTTTTTTGTCCTTTTGTACCTTAATTTCTATCTGTGCTAGGTTCTTAAATGCTAAATGAAGATTGTCAGCCATGGCATTGTTTGCAGAGCAAATAATGGGCAAATTATTTCAAATAAACATTTTGGGCTGTTTCTCTGTCTTTTGCAATTTTACGTATTTTACTACTGTAAATGATTATAATACAGCTATGAGTAGGCGAAGTATATTGTAAGCTTGTAATAGTATGCGTTTTCTAGAGAAACTTCTTCATAGAGTTCTGGGTAAAATAAGGAGCAGTTCAGCGAAATACATGAGAAAAATGAGAGTTAGCATATTTACAGTGTGTGCTAATCGATAGTGTTGGCTTTTATCTTTGCTTGATTGTATTTGGCTTTCAGCTGTTTGTGATATGTTGCATAAAGTTACTTACAAAGTTGAGTATCATTGTAATGGGTTTGTGTGTTGGAACCTGTTGGGGTTTTTTTAATGTTCAGTAACATTTTCCTCCTGTCACTTGACAGTGGACAGTTGGTGAATGCACTATCATTAAGCAAAACCACTGGTTGTTACTAGAAACAGCTAATTGAATCTTGTCATGCAATAAGATTTAAATACTTATCATAAATTGGTGTAGAAAAATTTGCTTGTATAATTTATGTGACCAATTTGTTTGAAATAATACATTTCTTGTGAAAGAGTCACTGATTTCATGGCTTCCAATGAATTAGTATTTTCATCTTATTTTTAGGAAACAGTCTAGTCAGCTTAACCTTTCATCTGTTTAATCTTCATGGACTAATTGAACACTTCCAGTTAGATACGATGAAACTTCGTAGATTTTTGGGTAAATACAGCTTTTTATTATGATGAATATTGCTGCTTTTTTATGCCTTAATTGAATTGCTGGTTGAAGTTTAGCAATAATGTTTGAAGGGTATTAATGCAGTCCAAACTGTGCAGTGATTTAAGTTATATTGACTGAGACAATCTCTCATAGTTTCTTTGAGTACAGAACTGTCCATATTAAATCCAAACAAATATTAACAAGTTTATTAGTTCCATAGCTGATGTTGTATTCCCTTTATTAAATCTGACTAATCAGAAGTATATGCGACATTATGTGACATTTGTATTGAGAAAGGCCAGACAACTCCTTTCTTTTAGTTTTCAGTTCTGCATTCATCTTTGCTTCCCAGTGATAGAGTTTCCTAACTGTATGGAATGTGTAAGCTTGGCTGGATTAGCTGGGGCCAGTTTGCTGCTGTGTCTGGCTCGTTCAAACTCTTGCAGAAGTAAGCACAGTACTGTGGGTGTAGCTTCTCCCTAAACAGAGTGCAGGACAATTTTACTTGAATGTCTGAGCCTGCTGCACTGAAATGCTTCGATGGAAAGAACTGTAAATACAGCGTATAATATTCAAATCAAGCAGTACAGTCGCTCAACAGCTGAATGAGCTGTCCTTCCGCATCCCAGTGCCATAGACAGGTACTGGTGTGAGACAACTTTCTGTTGGTTCTTCTGTGACAGTCAGTACCTTTAATTTTGTGAAGTGGGACGATTTTTTTAACTGAGCAGGAGAAACAAGTTTCTGGTCCCTTTTAGCAGGCTTTCACAGTTCTGGAGAAAATGATTCTGTGGTTACAAAGTTTGTCACTTAACAGAGGAGAAATCACATTTGGAAGACTTTTCTCCCCTTTCAAATTAGGGAAACATTTTTGTTTTCATAATTTAGTTCTCTTTCAGCTTAAAAAAAAAGAGAATTGTTCTGTCTTGTATTTCATGTTGCTTTAAAGTGGACTCAGTTCCTTCCAGTTTCAGAAAAGTAAATCAGCTGACCTTAATGGTTGATATATTGAAATGTGAAGAAAATTATTATAGAAATCCAGTCTTAGGCTACTTGAGTTGTAACTGAGTATGCTTTGTCTTTCTCATCTTCTGGTTAGTTGAGATTTAGCAAATCATAGTACTTAAAAGACTAGCTGGGAATGACTGGATTAGTTAGCTGGTTATCAAAAGATTATAAATATAGTTTTAACTACATATGATTACTCGAAGTCACTAAAATGAGATTTAGACTTGGAAGAAGGCAAAATTCTGTTCCAGTTTTGAAAGTTACCACCTTTCCCTTTTGTTAATGCCTTCTACTTAATGTCACTGAGAAGAACACTCTTATCTCTGTCCTAGTCCATCTGTCAAATCAAGGAACCTTTCTTCCAAATACATCATTCAGCATGAACACAGTTCATTTTTTTCTTTTACTACCTCTTGTACTCCAGTCCACAGTAACCTGAAGATCAAATTCTGGAAGAGTAGGACGGCATAAGTGGTTCATAGTACCATGTAAAATTAACTTTTTTTTTGGAATTTAATGGAATCTTTTTAAGTAGAGAAATCTGGTTTTAGTTCTCAGTAAGATTTCAACATTTTTTTTTGGTATGTGTGTATATATATATATATATATATATTTGTATGTTTATACACATACATAGTCTTTCAGTGATTTCCAAAGGTTACTTGGAGATCTGCATCCTCCTACTGTGTGTTTTCAAGTTCTTATTCCAGACCTGAAGAGGGGGAGAGAAAATACGACGTACTCTATTCCTGAAAACATAGGATGGTTGTGATATTCTAGTTCAGGCAAATCATGGTCAAAATTTTGACCTAAGTCTGCCTTATTAAATAACTTAAAAAGAATTGTAGGCTTCAGGTAGCTTGACCAGCCTGTGAAGCCCCCCAAAAATTAAGGACATCCATTAGTGCACTTGATGTGAGGAATAGGTGGGAGAGAGTTCTAATGCAGGTTGATAGAACACAAAGACATTTATTTTCGTCATTTTTTTGTATGAGCTGTCAGCTATGCGTTGAATAGTATTGAGATTAGGTGGTGGTTACAGTATTTTGAGTTTTCATGAACCACAGCTCTTCACAAATACCACGTCAGTAATGCTGTAACATTACAATCAGAATTATGTGGACAGTTTTGGCTTCTCAACTGAGTAGAACAAGAGGTTATAGGCATGTTATTTTGATGGGACTGACTGATGGTAGTCAGCTAGGAAAATATTCTTTTAGGTTTGCTTGAAAAAACTAATGTGTAGTATCAGACCAAACCTTAGAATGCAGTTTGATTGTTGTGCTTCAGGTCTTTTTCTCCTCCATCCTTTTAAACATTATAGTTCTTTCATTCCATGTACTCAAGCTAATGTTGATGCCCTTTAAAAAATTCTACCTATACTGTTTGGAGACAGCCAGGAAGATGAGTGAAAGAGGAGAAAAGCAAGGAAGAGGTTAAAGAGGGAATATTAAATCTAGGAGTAGTTAGTCAGGCCATCATCTAAACGAGATTCTTTTCTAAATTGCACATAGACTTAAATTGTCCTGAGTGAAGTATAAGATGCCTAAAAAAGTGTAGAGATGGCTTTCCATGACCACTTTCCTGAATGGGAAAGAAAAACACTTCATATGACAGAAATGCAGTACCTAATTCCTTTGATCTTGTCTGTTTTCAAGGGCTGATATGGGATTATCCTGATACTTTGGTAGACAGCATCATCTTCATTTTGTATTCAGGGTTGCCTCACGGTTTGGGCAGTCCAGATTTGCAAAGGGAGCCTTCCCTAGGAAGGTCTCAGAGTCTCTCAGATTATATATTGATTTCAAGTCGTTTAATTTTGCTCTGAGATGACTCCACATGTGGTTGATTTCCTTTAGAAAATACTATTTCTTCACATAAAAATGCTATACCTGTGTTGTGGTTCAGCTGATGATTTAGTGACTGTGATGTTTTCATGTGTGTATAACTTGGGATATTGCATATTTCTGTGCCTAGTAATGGAATATAAAATGTTGCTTGAAAAAACTGTTATTTAAATTTGGATATATGTTATTTTCCTGCAGTTATGGTTCAAGAAGATTATCACAGTCAAAACCCTTATCATAATGCAGTTCATGCTGCTGATGTGACTCAGGCCATGCACTGTTACTTAAAAGAGCCCAAGGTAAGGGAGCGTTCTCGCTTTCACATCACATGTATGTACAGAAATATGTGCATTTGTGTGTGTGTGCATATGAGTGGTGTGCATGTGAATTGTGTGTGCATATCTCAGAATCATTTAGGTTAGAAAAGGCCTCTGAGATTGAGTTTAATCTATGACCCAACACCATCATGGTCAACTAGACCATGGCACAAAGTGCCACATCCGGGGACGGTGACTCCACCACCTCCCTGGGCAGCCCGTTCCACTGCTTAACAACTCCTTCTGTGAAGAAGTTGTCCAATGCCCTCATGTCCAATCTGAACCTCCTCTGGTGCAGCTTGAAGCTGTGTCCTCTCATCCTGTCAGTGGTCACCTGGCAGAAGAGGCTGACCCTCACTTGGCTACAATATCCTTATAGGGAACTGTAGAGAGTGGTAAGCTCATGTATCTATATATACATATAAAAGTAAAGAAACCTAAGAACCCAACAAGACACAGTTTTGAACTCTCCACTGCTCTCTCTGTTGCTGAGGTTGTGGGTTCACCCTTAGCAGTGTGCTTTTCTTTTTTCCCCCACTTCTGAGCTGACATTGTCTTTTGTGTGACTTCACGTTGGACCAGAGTAGGGAATTAAGGTTGCAACTATTTAACATAGTGTTGTGCCCCAAAATATTTGCAAAGAATTGTAGCCTGAGTCAGAGCTGGCAATAATAAATTTGTGTATTTATCATTTGGGGTGAAGTTTTTCCTCCAGAAACTACTATTATCCTTGCTTTGCTCATTTTTACTATCACTGAATAGGATGCTTCTGTCAGAGGCAGTTCATAGCAGTACATTAGGACTTCTCTTTGGCCTTTCTTTTTTAAGAAATGGCAGAGTTACAGACATGAAGGAGCTGAGCTGGTTGAGTGTTTGTTCCTCCCTGCTTGGACTGCTGTCAGGCTGCTCTGAGTGATTGGACAATTTTAGGACTAAATACTGTTCTTCTGTATTAAATTGAAAACTGCAGTGCTCTGTAGCCAGGTGAGACAAGTTATCTACCTTGATGCAGGTTATCACCAGCCTCGTATTCCCTTGAATAGCATAGCTCCTTATTCTGCTTCTGAAGTAAAACCAAGTAAGTTCTGGCTCCCTTGATGTTTTTTGGAGGCTCTTTGCCCACTCCTCCCACTCAGTTTCTCAATGCTGCTCTCAGATCAGTTGGTGCAGTGAGCCAAATCAGAGCTGATACATGATGAGCTTTTTTATGGCATGCAGTTTGAAAGCTCTGAGCATTTTTTATTTAATACTCGTGATGGAAGTTTTGTGATGCTTTAGGTACAAGTATAGACTTTGTATTTTTAGTAACATATACAGCTACAGGTTCTGTTGCACCAAAGTACTTTATAAACATGTGAGGCACGATAGATGGCAAACGTAACAAGGAATATAAACTTCTGTCCTGGCAGGGTGTTTGCTGCATTTCACCTTTGTATGGGCAGAGTTGTCCTCTCTGTTTTAGTGCAGGCTGACTTAGTCTAAGTTACAAACCTCCCAACCATAAGTAGTAGCAGCTATGAGCAGTGAAAATAAGTCTATGCAGGTGAATGCTGAGTTAATTGACATACACATACTTCTTGAAAATATTTATTTGTGTCAGAATTTCCTCCTTTGGTTCTGACCCTGCTGGACTTTTAAATGTAATTTTGCATAAGAGTAGAAATCCATTCTGAACAGTTCTAAAGTCTTCTTGAGCATTAGTTTCTTCCCTTAAAGAGGAAGGGGTTTTTATGCTTTTTAAAATATAGTGTGTATTTAAAGCACAATTGACATATACAGATGGACTTGGTAAATGACAAGGAGAGCTAATTTTAAGAATTTACTGCTTTTATGGGATCTGCTTAGGAATAGTACTTCATTACCAGACAAAAAGTAGGATTTTGTGTGCCTGTGTTTTTCAAGACTGAACCTTCTCGTTCAGAAAGAGTAATGCTTAAACCATTGTTGAAATATTGTAGCTTTGAGTGGGAAAATAATGTGCAAAGTCAGTGGAATATTAGTTTTGCATCTTCAGAATTTCTTCTGAATTTCTATTGGCTGTTAATAGCTAAAAACCAAAAATGCAACACTTTTGCACTTTTTTCTAAGGGCATACTTGCATTACTAACATTTATTGGTTTTGCCTTGCAGCTTTCCAGATCTTTAACTCCATGGGATGTTCTGCTCAGTTTAATAGCAGCTGCCACACATGACTTGGATCACCCAGGCGTTAACCAACCTTTCCTAATTAAAACAAACCATTATTTAGCAACTTTATATAAGGTAAGAACAGAATCAGTTGTTTTGTTGAAGCCTGGTTTGGAGAATGCTTGAGTAGTACAGAAAGGGAGTATAAATTGTGAGGTGTTTAGCTAGCAGTAGGTTTGAATCCAGACATTGTTTCCATGCCGCTGGGATAAAAAAATGTGCAAATTAACAACATATTTGGCTTTGTGAGTTTTAACCTCCTTGGGGGGGGGGGGGGGGGGGGGGGTGGGAACAAACAAGGAAGAAATAAAAACACCAACTCCAAAACGCAGCAAAACTTTCTGGTCTCCTCTTGGTATACAGCTCTGCAGTGTAAGGAAAAGGTGTTGATTGATAGGTGCTATTCCCTTTCCATTCGCAGAATACCTCAGTATTAGAGAACCATCACTGGAGATCGGCAGTGGGGTTGCTGAGAGAGTCTGGTTTATTTGCACATATGTCATTAGAAAACAGGTATGTTTTTACCAAAGAGTATAGATTAGTTTAAGACGTAAGCAAGCTGTCACTTAAGTAAGACAGCCTTGCAAAACAAGATGCATTATTGCATGGCAGTTTTGAATACAAAATGTAGATGATGATCTGTTTTAAGAATTCCTGGATACTGTGCTGGTGGAGTAGAGCAGTTCATGGTGCAACGTGATATCTGGAAAATAACATTTACTGTGAGCACATTGAAGAAGTGTATTTATGTAGACAAGCACCTGTTCAGATTAAACTTGGCAACCTTTTCTCCTTCTGCCACCACAACTGTAGTTTAAAATAGACCCTCTTCACCTACTCTAACAAGAAACAATCTTGAAACAATTAGTTTATGCATTTTTAAGAACAAAAAAAAAAGGGGAGGGGTGGGGAGAAAAGAAGCTAAAAACTGCTTTGAAGTCTTCCTGAAAGCTGCCAGTGAAGTGTCCTGGTGTTTCTGTGGATGTTGTAAGATTTTTCAGCGAAAGAAAACAAACAAACAAACTAGTTCAGTGAAAATGCTAATTGTAAAACTTGTACTTGTATAATAATATATATGATAAAAAGACATCTCAATCTAGTGGTGACTGTTCTTAATTGTTATGCTTTGAATGTTTGGTATCACTAATTTCAGGCAGCTGATGGAAAGCCAAATAGGCGATCTCATTCTTGCCACAGACATCAGTCAGCAAAATGAGTATTTGTCCATGTTTCGATCGCATTTGGATAGAGGAGACCTATGTTTAGAGAACGCAAACCATCGGCACTTCGTTTTACAGGTGATCTTTTTGGGAAGATTTTTGAAAACATCATTTTAGCGTAAGAATAATTTACTTAAAAATGCTAAATACTACTTCTGCCAGGCTTTCTCCTCCTTTCAAAAGCAGAACTATCTTCTAGTCATTCTGTTTCACAACAAAAAGGTTGTTCCCTCCACTTCAGTTCCCTTCCCCAGCACTTCTCCCAAGTGATAGTGAGTGTTGGTAAGTCTCATAACTTAGAGCTACTAAAGCAAGGAGGGGTGTTTTTCCAAGAGAGGGTTTAGCTTTTCTAACAACTCCATTGCAGCCTCAGAATTGTGAAATGCTTTGTCAGAACATATTTTGGGAAAGGAAGGCACTACCGTTGTGAATCAGTTTGCAGCTGTGCTAGTGAGCTTTAACAAACTTTAAAAACAAAAACCTTGAAATTCCTTTTAGATTTATAGACATTTTCTTAATAGGTTCATATTGTGGACTATAAAAGGACATAAACAAACAGATGAGAAGTTCTGTCTTGTGCAAACCATTGCTAAAAATATGAGCTTCAGAGCCAGAAATGGAAAGTGCTGTTTGCTTACTTTGATGTTTCTTTTTCTGTTTTTTTTTTTTTTTTGGTTCCTGTACCAGTGAATATACTAAATATAGTGCTCCTGAAATACTTTGACTTGACTGAATTTCCATATTACTCAGAGATGATCATGGGATCTGAGTTCCCTGAGTACTTTTTAAATATTGCAGAACATAAGTTTGAGATGCAGATGTTAGGTAGGTTTGTTATTCAGAAAAGTTAAAAATAATCTCCTGTAAGGAAATAAATAATTACAGGTGCTTCTGCTGGAGGGAAAGGTGATCTAACACTGTGTGTTAACTTTTTAGATGGCTTTGAAATGTGCAGATATTTGTAACCCGTGTCGGACGTGGGAGCTGAGCAAGCAGTGGAGTGAAAAAGTAACAGAGGAGTTCTTCCATCAAGGTAAGAGCAGAAGTATCCGTTAGGATGCGACGTACTTAAAGCGTGGGAAGAGCATCCTAGTCCATTTATATTTAGGACTAACAGAGATGTACAGTGCAGCATGGGATTTTTTTACTGTCATGGGTTGTACTTCTTGCAAAAGGTTGGAATTACTAAAATTCATGGAAGAATCTGCTTAGAGTCTGAACCTAGAACGCAGCCTGAAAGGTGCTTCAGAGGAGTAATTATGGCCACGTTAAATTTACCTAGTGGCTTCAGTAAATGATGAAATATGTTCATTGTGTGCCCTCAATATTTAAACTTCAGCTGTGAGGCCTGTTGGGAAGCAGGTGAGAGATGGGGAGATTCTGAGTTACCATGCAGTTACGATTACTTATATAAGCAGTTAATAAAGCTTGTAATTAACAAATGGAGTGAATTTCCTCCATTATTATTAAATTTTAATAATAGAACTAAGGCTAGTTTAGCCGAGTTGAGACCTGGTATTTTGCACGTGGATATGATAAATGGGGAACAGACTGATTTATTTGCTGCTAACCACATGAGGCTTAATCTTTGGTAAAGGTGATGGGGAGGCAGAACCACAAACTGCCTTTAGCCAGAAATTTCTGAAGGCTGAGCTATTCTCATCAATATTCATAAGGGGGGGATTTTAATTTGTCATTTCTATGACAGTCTAGGAAGCTTTGTGAGGAAGAGGATGTTAATCCTTCAGTAAACTAGTGGTTCTATGTTTTTTGTTTAATTAGTGTTTGATGAAAAATAGTATTTAAATACAGTATTTATAAATACTGTTAGTCTCACTGACAGATCTACTTGGTTTTTGTGGGAGGTGGGGAGAAAAGTAAATGCAATCCACCAGCTGCAAGATACCATCCTTGTTAGCCCCCTTGCACAGCTCACCTCTTTTGGTGTTTGATTTGGATTTGGACCTGATGACTTAACAGTTGTATTATACTTTTGTTTCTTTAGGTGATATTGAAAAAAAATACCACTTGGGTGTGAGTCCACTTTGTGACCGACAGACAGAAACTATTGCCAACATCCAGATTGGTAACTGCAGTTCCATTTATTTCAGTAGATTTCTTTAGGATGTAGTTTGAAAAAAAGGACATTTTGGGTACATTTGCTAGAGGCTGTACCTGCTGTGTGTGTGTGTGGCAGCACTTCATTACAAAGAGCACTTTTATTTCAATTTGCTGTGTAACACTTCTGGCTTGAACTGTTCACGAGAGGTGCTGCCCTGACCGTCCTGGAGACCAGAGCCACTCTGTTTCCTCACAGAGCAGGTACAGCATGGGAGGCAGCTGTCTGACTTCTCCCTGAACTGCTGCTGCCCAGAATTTCCTGGTCTGAAGGGATTGTTTTGGAAGAGGAGGGTCCCTTCCCCTTGCCATGTGGTCTAGGGTGCCTTTTGCAGCGAGATTGCCACAACAGGGCTCTGGCTCGCTGGGTGTAGCTTTGTGGAATGTCAGTGTTCCCTTTAAATGGCAGCCTTTAAGGAGGGTGGTGGACAGAGATTTGATGGAGAATGCCATTATATTATAGTTTTTGCTTACTTGAGTTGGATTTAAAATAGTAAAATGTCTTTTTATAGTTATTCTAATAAAAGTTGCTTATTTAGGTTGAATGGGACTCAGTTAAAAGCACAGTAAAGAAAAGAATAAATTTGACCACAAACACAGTAATAATTATGCTTTACATCGACAGAAAAGCTGATGTGTTCAATAAGCTGCACTGGTGTAATTTAGAATGTTAGCAAAACACACATTTCTGTAATTGACAGAATTGGTCATCTTATCCTTCAATTTTTGGTTCATGGAAATAGACACTATGCATAATTCAACATGTGCACATGCACAAAGTTGTATATAAACACACAACTGTATATAAGTGTTAGTGTGTTAGCGTTTTGTGGCCTTGTTTAAAGAATTTATAAAATTTATATTTTAAAGTACTTTTAGCTAGCTTAATATTGTGAAAGTAATATTTTTTTCCCCCTGTGTAGTATAGGTCAGACTGTCTGTGGGGTAATACATTATAAAATTCCTCCATGTTCCTCAATATTTTCTTTTATTTGGTCATTGCTGTGAAAGAAAGAGGGTTAATTTGTAATCCAGTGTATTGCTGCTCTTCTGGCTGATTAGTAAAATCTTTTATATTTTGAGAGATCATTTTGTAAAGATGTCCTAAATATTGAAATTAATTTTTAATTGCACATTGGAGAATAGTAGTTTGAGAGATTTACTTTTTGCTGTCAAATTCTATTTAAAATACTTAGGTTGAATATTTTAATTTTTCTCTGGGCTTGTTTTCTGGTTTTCATTTGCCTCTGTTTGCTTGTTTTTGAAGGTTTCATGACCTACTTAGTGGAACCTCTGTTTGGGGAATGGGCCCGGTTTTCCAACACCAGGCTGTCACAGACCATGCTTGGCCACCTGGGACTGAACAAGGCAAGCTGGAAGGGAGTGCAGAGGGAACAGTCTGGCAGCGGTGACGATGTTGACCCTACTTTTGAGGAAATGGACTCAGACATATTACCTCAGGAACCTCGATTGTCCTGACCTCAGTCCCCGTGACAAAACTGCCTCTTCTATTGGTATCTGCACGGTTGGATTACAGGAGATACGTGCCAGCCCAAGGTTTTGGTAAAATGGTAAAATGATGCCAGCATTATTTATTTCCAAGTTTTCCTTTGACACAGACCATTTGAACCCGAATTTTTTTAAGCCGCAAGATTTGAACATAGAGCAATATGCACCCGCCTCAGCTGGTTTTCGTTCGGAACCTTGAATATGCAAAGCACAGCAGTGACTGAGCCTTGGAGCAACAGGACGAAAGCTTCATTGTGCCACACGTGGCTTGGGTTTTTTGGTGAAATTTGGAATACGGTCTTCAAATCTAAAACTTGAGATGGATTGTTCCACTCCCTTGGAATTTAGCAAGACTTGCATAAATGTGTTCAAAGCATACCTTCCACTCAGTCCCTGTTTTAATACGGAAATGTGAAGTGCCCATCCTCTGCTGCCTCTGGCAAGACTTGATGTTTACAAATGTACTCTGAAACTGTCGGTTCTAGACTTAACCTTTGCGCATGGCTGTGAAGGAACCACTAACTTGGGTTTTTTGCTTTTTTAAAAGAAAAAAGATCAAATCTGAGACTGCAGCTCTTGTTTCTTTGGATGCCAGAAAAGCCTCCCATTTGCCATAATTTTGTTTGTGCACTGGGAGCTGAGCATTCATCATAGAGCACAGCCAAGCTTTACTCCAGTGCTATATGGGAATGCAGTTTTTTAACGGCAACAAAACACTTCTGAATCTGGGAAGGGCGGGGTGGGGGTGGGGGGGGAAGCGTCCGAACTGCATTGCGATTCTGCAGTGGGAACATCGCATGTTGTTCTCACTCTTGTACACTTGAACTGCACATGCAAGAAAAAGGTGGAATGTCTAAACACCATAATCAGCTCAGGGTATTTGCCAATCTGAAATAAAGTGGGATGGGAAGCGTGTCCTTCAGAACAAGGGTACAAATGCCCCTTTCGCTGCAGCGTGTGTGTATGTGTGGGTGTGTGAGTACGTTTGGGACGGGGAGGGCGGGAGGGCTCGGGGAAGGGTTTGAACGGCAACATTTGTTTTCTTTTTTTTTTTTTTTTTTTTTTTTTTTTTTTTTTTTTTTTTTTTTTTTTTTTTTTTTTTTTTTTTTTTTTTTTTTTTTAATTTATTCTTTTAGAATGTGACAATTTCATGAACAGCCACACCGGGGAGGAAACTGTAACAAATTGCTACAGATGCCTTAAACTATGCACAAAGCTAAGTGACCAAATTTGTTTTTGATTTGAAAAAAAAATAATAATAAAAAAAAAAAGTGCATTGTTTACGTATTCCTCCCTCTACTGAAACATTACCCACTGATGGGTTTTTGATGGGAAAAGGAGAAAATGTTTTTTAGGACAAAATTAAAGGACTAATTTTAAACTTAAAACATTCCATTTTTGTAATTTGTTTTACATTGTTTTAAGTACAGTAAGCACAACTGTAATCTAGTTTGAGAAACTGGTGCTTTCTTTTAGTTCATTTGTATTTCCCTGTTATTATTGTAAAAGACTGTTTATTAATTCTGTTTACAGTTTGTTGCAACAGCCATTTTTGGGAGAGAGCTTCAGCGTAAAGCCATTTCTAAAGGCTTTGCCATATTCATTTTAATATGTGCCTGTTGCTGTTAACTTTTAATTAATAAAACAAAATCTTTTCACATTATGCTCCTGTACATTTAAGTTACGACTGAGTCCAGCGTTGTGGAAAGGTAGCTAAGGTTGCAGTCAGCTTCCACTGTAAAACTAAGCCAACTTTTTGAAAATTTGAAAATACTAGTCCTCATATGCCAAAATTTATTGCCTCTTGGAGCTTGGCCTTTTACTGTTTGAAAAGCAAATCCTGACTTACCTGATTGTTTCCCTTCTAAAATTGTTTATTCTTCTTTCATGTTCCCTGAAGTAGTATCATTAATCTCAAAGTGGCCATGTTTAAAGAAATAAATTTCTAATGAAACCATTCTGTTGAACATGCGTGAACTTCCTTCCTTCGCTGTCAGTGCAAGTCCTTGCTGTTGTCTTGACTCCAGCTGAGAAGGATCAGATGGGACAATGAGCTTTGGTTGTAACTTGAAGGAACAGAAAAGCACTTCTTAACAGATTGTCTTTGAAAGGGCAACACTTTCCAGTGGTGTTTGAAGCTGTGAGAACACAGAGGTAAGGGCTGCGTGTGAGTAACTTGCTACAGAGAAGCTGCAGCTAAGCTTCCCTACAGCCTGAGCCAGTTTGTAGGGTTAAATGTGGAAAAGTACTGATTCCTATTGCACTGTTTTGAGTAAAAACATGTGCCAAGGTTGCAGCTATTTTCAAAACGACCACTAAAATCAGTACCTGATGATGTCTTCTGTGATGCGTGTTTGTAAAAAATGTGACTTGGTTTAAAGAGCCTCAACTGCATTTTAAGTTTTACTACTCATTGCAGGCTATTTATAAGCACATTTTAATATCTAATGCAAATCAAGATTAATGGATTTACAAATAGGTATATAGCAATATTTCAATACAGTATTTATAAAGAGCCTGTGATTCTTTCCCATTGTGCCATCTTGCTGTCCTCTGCTCTGACAGGACCAGTACAGCTTGCCAAGGTGCTTAGAGTGAAACACGAGCAGTTTTGTTCTAAGCCACCTTTCCTGGAAAGAGGCTTCTGTCTTTTCCTAGCAGACTGGATTTAGAAAGACTGGTTCTAATCCCACCTCTTAGTGGACATGGGGGGTTCTGACATTGGACTGAATTAAAAAAAAAAAAAGCCTTTTTTTTGGACTTTTCTAGAAATGCCTTCCACAAATCTACATTGAACGTCACCATTCCTGCAGCCTGAACGGTTCGTGTGAGAGCCGAGCGTGTCAGGAGCAGGGTCCCTAAAGCACCACGGCCACTCCCAGCCCACGGGAGCCCAGGAGTGTGTGAGGGGATGGGGGCCAGGCCCCCACCACAGACTGACTGAATTCACAGATCTGCTCCCAGCACTGTTCACAGATGGATACAAAAAGGCCTCAGGTTATGTCTTTGGCCTCTGCCCAACAGGAGTGGAGGGCTTTAGTTTGAGCACTTGAGATGTTTTACTGTGGACAGTGGCACTGTGTGTGTACAAGACTTCAAGCAGAAAAATACGAATTACGGTGCAGTATGAAGTAAGTTACTTGATGTCAGCTTTGTGGTTTTATTTTCTTGTGCAGATGGCATTTCTTTTACAGTAATTTTACAGTAATTAGTGATAAGGCTCACCCTATCTCTGGGCAATGGATACCTCAGTTCAAATAGGCAGTGCCTGGTGTGGGCTTTTCTCATGCTCTAGCCTAGTTTAATAGGTCAGGTGATATCCTGAATTTTACATGTTAATGATTTAATTGGACTGCCAGGGGAACTCCGTGTACCAGGGGACGGTTAAACAGGTACCTTCCTGCTATGTTTGTGGTGAGGAAACTTCTCACCGGTTCCTCATACCCTTTTTTTTTGTAACTGAATTAACAGTGTGGGGCTTTTCTAGACTAGCTCTGTCACTCCTGGTGCACAGCAAGATAAGCAGCAAGGAGATGGAAGTTGATTTACAGTCATTGTAACAGAATGTAAACTATACTTTACTGTGGCTGCTGTCCTTTGTAGAGTACCCACAAATAAAATATGCAGTGTTTATTTTAACTGCTTTTAATTTTATATAGTGGCAATAGAGCATAAAATACAAAACTTTAAAACACCTTTCTGAAAGTCAGTTTTGGTTTTAAGTCATTTAAAAGAATTCAAGGACTGAGCGGCCTGTCAGTAAGACTGATGGCAGAGCATTTTGGAAGGAAGTTACATTGTGTACATATTAACACCATTTCAAGTTCCACCCCAGAAAACGCCCTCTTCCACTGTACAACCTACATTCCAGTTATAAGCAGCAGAGCTCCAGTAACCCCGTCATTCAGCTCTCTTTATTAAATAGTGCTGCTCTTGTCTTTTCCTAGAAAACAGAAGCTCCCAGAGGCAGTTGTACTTGTCGCAGGAGCCAGGATCAACTCAGAGCACCAAAACATCCAGGCTCAGCTTTTTCTACTCCCATCTATGGCCAGAGCAAAGCTTGACTTCATTTCACTGCGTAGCTAAGCTGTAGCTCTCAGCTCCTGAACAGCTCTTTTGTATGTTTAGCTTGAGCTTTTTCTCCATCTGTGGCTGGAGCCATGAGCTCAGGTCGTTGGTGCAGGTCTGGCAGCAAATAACTGCTCTGGGGAAGCCTCAGAAGGGCTTTCCTTGGAAAACAGGTTATGTGCAACAGCTTATCCCCTGTCTTCCCAGCAAACAGGACTGTGAGGGTGTGTGCAGGCCCCAGCTGCCAGAAACGTATCCAGGGACCCAAAACAGCTGGGGAGAAAGGTGTCCACAAGCATCTCTTGAGGCAGCAGAGGTGAACAATATACTTTTGGCAACTTGCACTCCACAGTACTTTGTACCTTTATTTTCTTCCCTACACCGTTTCTACTCTAATTAACACATATTCTCTTACTATTTTACTCTGCTGCTATCTACTGGCTATTTCAAATTCACTGGACTACCTATTCACAGAGGCTCCCACAGCACGATTTACTCACTTGCCCTGCACTCTTTATAATGGCCACAGGATGATGTAACCAGGTTTTGCTCTCTTAGCCTTGCAAGCTCATTTGAAACAAACCACCCTGCACAAAAATGTGCTACTACTTAAAATTTAGCTGACCTCTGCAGCAGATTCAAGTTTTTCCTTTGCTTCACTAAGAAGCAAAATGCCTCCAGGTTTTCCTTGGGCTAAAATTTTGCTTAAGTTAAATTTAAAAGAAAGACTTCAACATGAAAATTTCAGTATCAAATTACACACTGTAGTGCAAGTTACAGGTAGAGCTCAGATAACTGATATTAACTTAAGGGTGTATCACCATCATCATTAACATGTACACAGATTTGTAAGATGGTCAGTTATGCACAAAGAATGCTGTATATATAACTTAGTGTTAATAAACTAAACCCACCACGTAAGTCTGAGTGGAAAGCCAGGCTTGAATGCAAAATTAATACCTGAGTATAATGGTCCAACTTATTCCCCTTGACAAACCACATACAAAGAAGTTTAGTGCCTCACTTCTGCCTCACATTGGGTCTTTCTGTGCTGTAAGAGACCACTCAGTACTAGTGCTAATTGCAACATAAAGTATTTCGGAGAAAGGAGCTCAACAGTCTTTCACGCAGTGATCTCAGTTCACTAGGATTTTTCAATTAAAGTCTTCATTTTTCCTGTGGACTTCAGCATGTGCGGCCCAAACTGAAAAGGAAACCAGAAACATGTTCAGATTGCTTTCAACAGAAACTTTGCTGAGCTACCATCCATCCAAGCTCTAAGTAAAAGCAGAACTTGGGCAGAGATAATTCCCTCTTACCATCCTGCTCCTCTGTGTGTGGATTTCACAAAGTAAAGGAAAACTTGTGTCAGCAGTCAGCTGAAATTGCTCAGATAGAGACAGCTCACTCTGCCACAGCAAGGTAAGAAGACAGATGCAGTTGTCTTTACAAGCTGACAACCAACTGCTCTAGCACCAGTTTTACAGTATTTCTGTTCTTACTCTACTTTGCCTTTTTCTGCAAGTCCTTTTCAGAATGATCACACAAAGATATCACTAAGTTTGATCTAACCAAGAAGGTACATACTGGTAAGTAACTGATGGACAGATTTTATTACCTCATTAAAGATCAATGCACTGTCACTGAACAAAAAGCTGAAATTTCCTTCGCTCTTGAGGACTTGATCCTTAATCTCAAAATGTGAACTGTAAATTTTGAAACTGGAAAGTCACAAAAAAACCTCTGTGTAAATAAACGTTGCCAATTTCTGTTCTTTTCCTTAAACCCCCAGAGATGCTGGGGAAAGAAGTGATTAATTCTAGGCAATATCTAGCTTTTTAGTTGTGAAGAACAGCCTGAACAATACAGAAATACACCTTTAAAGGCCAAAACTAGATGACAAGTAAGTCAACATCAATTAGCAGAAATACTCAAAAGTCCTGAGATTTGTGGCTTGGGAATGTTATTTTCCTTGGAACTCCATTCAGAGGGGATCCAGCTTTTGGAGTTTTATCTGCATTTTTTCAAATGTATAAAGGGTTCCATAGCACAAGGCTTCAAGGATTGCTTACAAATAAAACTGATCTATACCAGCTTGTTTCTTAAGTAAGTGTACATTGCTAGAAACTTGTTCCTTGAACATTCACTGCTTAAAAACCTCTTCAGTTTCAAATCAGTCTGAAACAGAAGTCATTAACTTGTGCCACGATGTGGATTTTAAACACAGTTTCACTTTAATGTTCTCACACTATTAAGAAACTGCTTTTATTTACTCAGCATTTCCAATTATTAGAAGAAGCTCCCTATACCACGATCCTGCAGGCATTATGAATAATTTGCTTTCTGCATTCCCAGGAATGGTGACATGCTTCAGGATCTTGCTTCAAAGTTTCACTTCCACTGTCTGAATAGTTAAGGTTGGTGGTAACAGGCAAACTCAGTTCATATTTGATTCCAGTACGAGCCCTTAGCAATGTTTTCATAATATTTTCAGAATATCACATGCTTGTGGCAACAGAAAACACTTCTGTTTAAAAAAAAAAAAAAGACAAAACTGTAACAGGACTTTTTAGACTTAGGGCCAAGACAGTACACAGTCCTAAGATCTGAAACTAAAAACATAGGGTTGCCACAACTCCTAGCATATCAGCAGTACTCCACAGAGTTTTGTGGACTGGGATGCTAACTTGTGGGTAACTGCATATCTTGGCATAAAGAAAGACGTACGTTTGTCTTCACAACTATAATTTAATCCAAGCATGTGTTCAGAATCACAATACTCACCAGCACTACCTCAGTCTGTGTCTTTGTTTCAGTCTTTGGAATCACTTTTTCTGTTTCACTTTGGCTGTCACTTCGGTATCGATGAGCAAATTTCTTTTTGAGAGCTTCTGCTATTAATGCTGCAGGATCTGCAGGGTCAGCCACTTTAGGTTTTGTACCTTCTGAGGATCTAGAAAAGAAAATAAGAAGCATTAACATAGTCCAAAACTTAACCACTTGTGAATGCTTTTGCATTCTGTTTGTCATATGTTACATCAGCAGCTGTCTCACCCTGAGGTAGTTCCAAGCCATAAAAACAAGTCATTGATGCAAATGTTGGTATATTAATACTTATTTTTATGTATTACCTTTTCACCGAGCGTAGTTTCACACTGTTCATGTCTTTGAGGATTTCTAGCATGTTTGGTACTTCAGACTTCTTTGGCCCGTTTTCCACCACACTCTGGCCAGAGTTCATTTTTTTGTTTTTCCTTTCTTTAATGAGATCAATGGCAGACCTGTTCTGCTGCAGACCCGAGGGAGGGGGTGGTGGCAGAGGAGGAGGTGGTGGCGGTGGAGGAGCAGCAGGGACAGCAGCTGGAGCAACTGGACTTGACCCGACTACAAATGAAATGAGCGTTACACGTCAGTTTGCTTGGAACTCCCCTTTACATGACACAAATGCCCAGGTGAAAACATCACTGTAATATCTTCAATTGCCTCCCCGCTGCCACCTTTAGATTGTCACCTAACTTCTTCACACTTAAACCACCTAAGCTGAAAAGCCACATAAACATCCTTCTTGAAGAGTGAGAAATGTCCTTTAAATTTCCAGTTCAAATTCTAGAGGCATTCATGTCTACTGCAGTGGGATGGATGTCATGACATCCTTTAGTTATTACAGAATATCCTGAGTTGGAAGGGGCCCACAAGGATCATCGAGGCCAGCTCTTTAACTTAAGGGCCCATATGGGGATCAAACCTTGGCATTATCAGCCCGTGCTCTACCCAACTGAGCTCATCTCAGGGTCACGTTCTGCTCCTGCTGTTACCAGTATTTCACTTTCGTCCTGAGAGGCAGGTACTGAGCTGGAAGTCACAATCTGCCAAATGTGAGCAATGTTTCTCCCTACTTATCATCACAAATACAAAATTACCATACAAGATTTTTAGACATAAATTTCAGAGCTCAAACAGCACCCAGGTTGAACCTCATACCGGCTCTCCGAGGTTAAGGATTTTTAGCTAATCATCTGTCTGAAGACTGAGATTCTCACAATAATCTTGATTTCAAGTTTCCTGTGCAGTTTAGGTAAAAATTGGTGTTATAAATGTAATAGCAGTAATAACCTCACAAATAAATGAAGATACCTCTGCTCAAAAGCACGTTTAAAAAAATCATGAAAACCATATAAGATCAGAGTTTTGAAGCTCGGGTTACAAAGTGTGTAAAGGTGTGTACAGACAGACAGTACAGACAAGCCTTCTGTTTACGTGCTGGCAAAGACAAAGCGTCATTACCACGTTCTACCACAAGAGGGAGGTAAAGATGATAAAATCAAATAAAACACCATTATTAGTTATTTCACACATCCCTGTTCCCCCCCACCATTAAAATCCAAGAGAGAAACTATGTGATCCTTAAAATTATTTCATAGTTTTGAATATGAGCAGGTCAGGAAAAATAAAGAAACTACTCTCAGTTCACAGACAAAAGCTAAACAAGACCATCTGAAGAATCAGAATATAATTTTATACACAAACATAGGCAAAAATGTACTTGCTAAGTGACCTTAGGAAGGAGTTAAAGCCAAATGCCTGTCATCTGCAGTCGACAAGGGCCATCTACCACCAATCTTTGAAGACTTAAGACTGGAAAGCAGTCAGAGGTGAGGGAAAGAGGAGAAAGAGATTCAGGAAAAGAATTATTCTGTAACTGCCAGAAATGGTGCACCACTTCTGCTTCCATATGGACAATGTGTCTGATCCCAGAGATGATTCCAGTAAACACTTAATTGCCTTTTCTGTTACTTGTTACGTATATTACATATTCCAAAAGTATAATTAGCATCTTGTATGAATACTTAATGATACCAGAGAGCTTATTTCATGACTGAATGGAAAGACTTCAGTGCTAGTAATTAAGTAACATCCTTTTAGTTTGGTTTAAGCCATCATGTTTATCATGAGCTTTGCTCTGAAAGCTGTTTAATACTTCTTCTCTCATTCACAGATTCAGAACTCTGGCAGACTTAACAGACATGAAGACTTTTGGAATACTAGAAAATACAGAAAATCTGTCAGGTCGCTTGTCTTCAAGACCTGTTCTGTACCCCTTGGTTAGTGTGCCTCGTCTGTCTACCAGACTAACAAAAACAATATGGAGAAGGGCTCAGTGTTGCAGTTATCTCACAAAAATGAATTAGCACAGTATTAATTATAAAGGGGGACAAATCTATTAACTAATTTTTGCTATGAGTACAGCAAATTTAATACCTGCTGTCAAGTTCTGCTGTTCTTGCAAGGTTACAATTTTGGCTATTTGTGCTCTTAAAGTGGCCAGTTCATTTTCTAGAGCACTGATCTTCTGCAGTGCTTCTTCATTTGCCATCACTGCGCTCCTGGGCACTGGTTCTTCTTCCGGCGGGCTTTGTAAGGACACTTGTCTGCGTGGGGACCTCCCGGAATGATGTGGCTCCCCTGAGGGAGGCTGGGCTGTTTGTGACCAAACTTCTGACCTGTAACAAAAATATCACAAGCTGTTTTAAAGGCTTAGTAATAGATAAAAAGCTAAAGCAACGTTACATACAAACCTGGTTAAAAGCTGAAGACCTGACTTCAAAAATCTCCTTACACAAATCACTTCCACCAACACCTTGTGTAGCCTAAAGTGAATAAGAGCTTCTCGTCCTTTCTGTTTGCATCACTACCTGTATTTCTTCTCTTCCCCAGGCCAGCTTTTTGTAGAATGCTTCATTTCATAAGAAAAAAGGAATACATACCCCCTCACCCTAATCTATTTCTCTGTTTCATACCTATTTTATATTTTATTGGAATTAAGATTTTTTTTTGCCCCCAAATGCCACCATTTTTCTCCCATGGGCTGCAAACAGTCACTTGTTGATTCCTTTGAAATGGGAAGAGTTTAATTAGTTTTACAGGGTTATTTTTTTGTACTTCTTTGACTTCTGAAGGGACAATCCCCAAGTCTAGCAATGTTGGAAATACAGAGTGTGTGAAACAGCTTAGTGACGCAGAGGCTGCTTATCAGTAGATGGGCAAGGGTCATGTATCTAGTTTCCTAACAAAATAATTAGAACTATATAGAAAAAGAAGTCTTAGAGTTTTAAAGAGTCCATGACCTTCCCTCCTCTTCTCACAAAATCATGCAACTCTGCTGCCTTCCTTTATCACCCACCAAAGCTCAAGCCATGTTAAACACTGAGGCATTATGAAAAAACTGCTCAGGTAAGTCAAATAAGCCCTTACAAAGACACTAATATTTTTAAATGGTTTATCTCAATATCTGAGCAACCTGAAGAGCTGAAGATGTCCCTGCTCATTGCAGGGGGCTTGGACTGGATGGCTTTTAAAGGTACCTTCCAATACAAACGATTCATGACACTGTAAGTGGAACTGACAGGGATTAATGACAACAAATTATCATAAATATTAAAACTGCAAAATATGACCACGTTACTTAACTCCTCAATCCTCCTTAACTTCAACCCCAAAACTTCCCAGGCATGTCAGGATTCCATTGTTTATTCAAACATGAGAGTAAAAATGGGGGCTGGTGATTTTCAAATGTGTAGAGAGGCTCCAGACTAATACAGCCCAAGTGCCCCATCGCTCTGGATGCATGGATTAAGCTGCTGTGGATGCTCATCACCTTAAATCTGCAGTTGTGCTAGACCTAAAGCAAGAGCCAAGATTTAAGGCTAGAATTAACTCCCACCTTAAATCAGGAGTAGATACAGATCTGAGTCTTCTACAACACTAACAGAAAACATCAGCACAACTTGCAGAAATTTGATCAAAGAGAATTGAATGTTATTAGGGATGATAAAATTTAGGTGTTGTTACCTAGACAGGAATGGAGAGCACCTAAAGCTGAGAACAAGACACTTCCTACAGCAGCCACCTCCCTGCTCTCCCTAAGGTGGAAGGAGCCAGTGGTCACTTCGCTCTTTATTACTGCTCTGAGCAAAAAATACCCTTTTTTATTTAGCTATTCTGCTCCTTCAAAGTTTCTGTAAGGCAGGTTTTAGTGTTTTAAGGAAATGTCTTGATTGGAATCTAACTCTGTGGAAAAATATGCCTGAGTTGTCATTACTGCTCTGACTAGGAGTAAGGGAAAAATGATTCGTCATTGAGTTGTTTCCTCTCCAAAACTGCATTCACAGAAAAAAAACAATGTCTGCAAGACTGTTTAGTGAATTATACTGTGAATAAATATTTAACAGTAACACCTATGTGATCTTGTTGAAACAGAATTTCAAAAGCCTGGAAAACACCTAATGTATACTAGCTCTACTACTGATGCTGTGCATAGACATAATAAACAGTGCACATTGAAATACTCCCATTTGCTAAGTAATTCACTTACATGCTCCATTATAAGCTGTTTGCCTTAAGGTCACTATATATCTGCAGGATTATTTTAGTCCCATCCCACATCCATCTGTCCCCCTTCCCCGCTTCCCAGGCAGACATTTCAGCAAACATGCAAGTCCTACATCTTTCGTAATAGGTTCTTGGAAGCACCAAGGAACTATTTTGCCTGTTGTCTCCATTAAACACAATAACTTTACAGTTCAGTCCTTAAACAAGATGTTTCTGTGCAAACAAAACTAGTATTGGGCAGTTAATTTCCTTTGTATCAAATGGACTTCACAAATCATGTTTCTCAAACAAGTGTTGATTTCTGTGACTCCCCTCTGTGAAATGAATGTGGGCAGTGCCAGAATGTTTGTTATGCAAAGCTTCACTGTAACAAGTCACGTTGGAGGGCATCTAAGTCGTTACTAACGTATTTCATGCTTTCAAATTAAGAACAGTATCCTCCAGTAATCTCTGAAGCCAGCAATCTCTGCCCTTCTCTGGAAGGTTAGTTTATTTAAAACAAAAAGCTCCTCTGCACTACAGAACTGTACCTTTGTTCCTGGCTAACCTGAGCAGCAATTTGAGCAGGATGGAATAGAGAACTTATCCCTTCAGCCAACCTGTTTCATGCAGTGACAGTGAACCCTTGGTCCCACACAACAGTACCTGTCCCACCATTCTGGACACACGTGCTCATGTTTCCCTGCCAGTTTTCGTTATGAAGATTAAAGATGAAACACCAACCACAATTTTACAATTGTACTTAACAGACTGCGGAGCCTTAGCTAGAAAGGTGAAAAACAATGTGCTAATTATGGGATTGTCAAAATGACCATTGCTGCTAATGAGGAAGCTGTGCAGTACTGCCTCATATCTCAGAGCTGGAGAACCAGAGTTAGCAATTGTCAAACCACAGCAGACATTTTTGGGGGGACAAGGATGCTTGAAGCTACTGCATGGAACTCTTTGCAGTACATAAATAAATAAAACCCACAGTCTCCCTTCTATAAAGCCAATCTCCTGTATGTTTTCAAACCAGTCCTCCTTTCACAACCCTGTTAGTCTAACTTCTACTACTTCTTTTCAGGACCCTGCCTCTGGCTCTTCCCTCTCTCTTCTCCCATCATTCAAGTGCCCTCAGTTAATTGCAATGCACAACAGCTTCTCATCAGAGAGAACCGAGGTTTCTTCCTCTCAGTTCAGGAGTTCAGAGAGAAGATCTGAGAAACATACCTGAGCCTTGTAGAGACTTCTCCTTCTTCTTCAGCAACCCATCCCACATCTGCAAAGGAGGCCACTGCATCTTCTCTAAATTGAGCAGGACGGTTTCCTTCCGTGACATGAGAAATAAGCTAAATTTTAAAGACAAGATTGAAGGCCTTAGAGTCAACATTCCCAGCCCATGCCACAGTTATTTTACCTGATACTTCTACTGAGGCTACGTGTCACTATTAACACATACATGCACAAACACATCTGTAACCTTAGCACACATTTCTGTCCCGGGCTTGGTCCAGAACCATTTCACTGACTTCAAACTATTCAATCTAGTCTGCTGAACACTTTACAGACGTTCACGTAGTATTACATGACACTACTGAACACTAAAAATCCAAGACAAATTGTTACCTTAAAGACAAACAAATATCAACATTCTCACACAGTTTGCTATATTAACTCTAACAGTATGTATTTAAATTACATTCACGACCAGTTAATAAAAAAGACATTAAAGCTACCACTACTTCTTAAGTCTTTTGCTCTGATTTAGTATTATTTTGAAAGTGAAATTCTGTTGAAGTTTCCCTTTCCCTCCAACTTCCAAAATTTCTGTACAAGAAGTATGTACATTGCACAGGAAAAGCAAGCAAACTGAACAAACGCCAAAAGCAGGCAAAAAAGCCATTTTTACTAGCTCAGTAATCACAAAGACTCTGAGTGAGGGGTAGGATGTAATCATAACGTTATACACTATTTGCTAACAATCCTATTTACAACATGCCAAACAAACTGACCATTTTCCAGCATGGTTCTGGCCATTAGCTCTACAGTTGTTTGAAGCCAAAGGTGAGCAAGGCTCCAGAGACTGAAACCTTTCTTAGACTTGCAGCTAAGTGATGTAAACTGAGATCTGAAAAATTGCTTGGACCATCAGTACCCGCTCCATAGCCACAACGCAACAAAATGGTTTCAAATTTGTTTTGAAATTCTGTTTCCCTGGGTTAGACAAGGGCATGTGTGCACAGTCACTGGACCCCTGAGCAGCCTGGGCTCAGTACCTCAGCAGATAAAAGCTATTTTCAGTAACTTCTTCTGCTCAGTCTGTACTTTGAGTTACCTATCTCTAGTGCAACCATGTCCCCTCTTTTCTTGTATTATACACAATCACAGAATTGTTAAGGTTGGAAAAGCCCTCTAAGATCATCAAGTCCAACTGTTAACTCAACACTACATACAAATCCACAGCCAAATCTGCACGAGTGGTTGCAGCTGTTCAAGTGCTGCCTGCAGCTAGCACTGGGCCAAGAGCTGGGAATACTGACACAGGTGGTGGTAGTAGGTACCAGTCTATGAAGGCTGCTTGGATCCAGCCCATTAGCACTTAATTTTCAAGGCAAATCCTCTCTGTAAGGGCAAACTACTATGTAGCAGCAACATAAAATGTTAGCAATAATCTGAATTTGTAGCAGACCCATCACAGTAGGACTGCACTCTGGATGCGGTGAAACCATTTCTCAAGAACATCCGCACATACTTTAGTTGTAGCCTTTGATACACAAGTCCCAGGAAGAAAGAAGTTGTGGAACTGGGGCTGTTTTCCCCCCAGGAGTTGTTACAAACAGCTTTAGAAACTGAGATTAGTCATCTTCACCTCACACTCTCACAACTTGTACGTGAGCCTTTATCACAGCTCCCAGGAGTGTGTATTGGCACCATCAGATCATTTGGAAACAACAGGGTTTTTTCCAGGTAGCATCAGCACAGATGGTAATATGTTTTTCACATTAACAGTTGTGCCTAATACCATTACAGTCTGCCTCTCTTTAAAACAGTCTAGAGAATACTATATTGCATGTTAGGATTTTTACTGTCTGAGGTTTCTTTGGCTTTTTTCTTTTTAAAAATAAATTGAAATTTTCATGACTGCCGCATCCGTATTAATGTTAATGGCAATTTAAAAAATTCTTAATTCATCAGCCACTTCCTGCAGGTGATACAGATCTTCCCGACAGTAATGGCCACATGAGGAACTATTACCATTAAAAGACTGAAGCCAAATTTAAATAAAGCACTACACATACTTGAATCAAATATAATTTTATAAATCAACAGTAAGGAAATACATTTATCACTGCCAGATTTCCTGCACTGTGAGATAAATAACTTCTAATCCAACATTTAGGAGCAACCCTTCTGTTATATTACTATACAAGTTTCTTCTTACTTTTTTATTCATATTTATATGTAAGCAGAATCTGCTTGTTACCCCATATACAGATGTTTCTTTTCTCTATCCCTTAAAACAACAAAGCCTTCTACAACACTAGGTTTTGAATTTAGGTTAATGCAAGCTTTTTGCTTTAATTTAAAGGTTAAAAGCCAACATCCATCTCTTTACACCTGCCTGTAAACAACTCTTTGACTACCCTATTCCTCCGATCAATTCCAGGTGAAGAGAACAGACAACTGCTCTGCCAGTACCTGAAATGGAGAACAGAGCGCTGAAAACAGAGTCCCCAGTTCTACTGGATGGCAGGAACTGAAAGAATCAGTGAAGTAGCCTGCTTTTCTTTCTCTGCAAACTACACAGTTGCTTCCCCCACTTTGTCCAGCACAGGCTTTTCTGCCGATTGTAGTGTGCTCATACACTGCCCACGTGGACACACAGACACACAAGCCTGGGGGTTTCACACCCAGCAAGAATTTCTGAGCACGACACATACTGCACTGTTTTGACTGTCACAGAATCAGAGAATATCCTGAGTTGGAAGGGATGCATAAAGAATCATCAAGTCCGACTCCCAGAGAAAGAATCAGCCTCGCCAGTGTTTCCGCCCGGTTTCGAACCGGGGACCTTTCGCGTGTTAGGCGAACGTGATAACCACTACACTACGGAAACGCTGCTTGAGGAGGAGGCAGGGCAGGATCCCCACTTTTTGTTCCCTCCACAAAGTGCAAAGTAGGACAAATATTTTTATACTTTTAAGAACAGAATAAAAACCTCTAGTTTCAAACAACTAATACAGTTACATATTAGACATTTGGAAATACTTCTTCAAGTAAGACAAACTTGCTATGATTTTTCAAATTAGCCCGGTACATTCAGATGTTTGCTACATGCGTACAAATTCCTTGGGAGCCTTTACTGAGTTATGAGGTATCCATCAGAAAGACAGGAGAAGCATGGGACTAAAGCAGAGAAGCTGTAGCTGAAGGATACAATCTTCAGAGACGCTACTGTAGGTTTGATTGAATCTACCTAGGCTATACTGGGTAGTTTATTTTCTTCTACAGACTACAAATAAACCTAAAAAATATGACATACAAAAGAACTGTATCAACCTTTAGAGTAGTAAGGTGAGCTCTGCCGCCTCTTACTGACTATTACGCAGCATCTAGCAATTAATTTAAATGTTTACTACGGCAAGATCCATAGAGAGAGACAGAACAGTCAGCAGACCTCAAACATCAAAATGTTAAGCTACTACTCTTTTTTTTTTTCCAGACTAGTTAGACAAATGCACGCTAGAAGATAAGTATGAACATTACAGACATATTCATTCAGTGTCTTTCATCCATTTATCATAAAGAAAATGAAGACTTGTGGACAGTTTGCTGCTCTGGGGTTAGAAACAGTGATTACATACGTGTACCCTCAGATGAGGCAAGTAAGATTTGATTTGTTTTTTCAGATAAAGTCACTTACAGCAAAGGTTCAGTGCATGGTCCTTTCATAAAATAGCCAAAGCTGGCAAGGAAGAAAGAGGAAGAGACAGCTATAGGAAAGTGTCAGTTGCAACAGCATGAAAACGATCAAGATCAGTATTGAACTTCACTATAGAATCTTAATGCTGAGATAAAGACACAAAAAACAGATGTTAGCATCACAATTACATGTTCAACAGTTTACATATTAAAACAGTTTAAAGTCTCCACAAACCACATAACTTTTAATGTGTTTCAAGGCTCAATTTTTGAAATTCCTTTTTCTAATTAAATCAACTCTGACAACTGCACTTCTATTTTTAGGATCCTTTCCTTTCATCTAATAGAAGGTGAATGCTTATACTTAGTGTGCGTGCAAAGCTGACTGAATGTCTCTTTGGTAAGAAAAGTAAATATTATATTTAGCAGAATTCAGACCAAAACATGTATATGTATCTATTTGTTTGTTTGTTTAAACACCAAAAATATTCAGGAACAGATTCACCAAATGTATCTCACTGTTCTTTGCAAGGCCATAAACCAGAAATGTCTTCTTTTATGTACCATATTAAGAGAAGGTAGTATTTGGCTAACTATCTGCATATGAGCATCATCTTCCCTTGTGTAGCCTTTACAGTACAGCAAATCAGGCACATCATGGGAGGACTTCCCTTCCTTTCAAATCTGAGGCACAGGCAGCCCTACTGCTGGCAAAACTACTACTACTACTACTACTACTACTACTACTACTACTACTACTAGTAGTAGTAGTAGTAGTAGTAGTAGTACTTCAAAAGTTTAAATCCAGCGTGCCATTTGTTGTCCTTCTCACCTGCACAGATTCCCGTACCCCTCCTTTTTTTTCAGGTTTCACCAGGACACTATAAATGTGAGATGACTGCCCTTCCCAACCCCCTGTTTCTCAATGTACTTATTTAAGAGAGGCAAAATGTTAGCATGGCTTCTACCACGACACCAACAAGGCTTCTACGATAATCTTAACTATCTAGTTTTGCTACTGTAATTTCAAGTCTAAACATTGTTCATACATGTCATTTAGGATAAAGAAATTGATTTAAACATTGAAAAATTTAGCTGTGTGGAAATTACTTTATCTTAGTGTGGTAGATGATTCCCTCCACTCATAGTTATGGTTCCCACTCTTGCTCAGCCCATGAAACATTCCTCTCAACTTGAGTTTCAAGTACCAAATTTTTCCAACTCTCTACACATCCCCTACCCCTAACACACACACAGAGTTGAAGAGATTATGTGTAACAGCTTCCACTTTTCCATCTGTTCCTGAAAGACTCATTATAAAGAACATGGGTTTTCTCTTCCTTCAGCTTTTTACCCTTGCTCTTTACCATCCCCTTTCACCTACACAGCCTTGTATTTTAAACAAAAGCAGAGTACTCGTATTATCTTATTACTAATGTTTTACTTTCTGATAAAGTTGTTCATTTTCCCAAATATTTTTAACACTGTTCATCTTTACATGTCTCTTAAGCCTAGCTTGTAAGTATTGTTTATAGAAATAAGTTTCAAAAAATGTTCTCTTTTATGAATGTATTTTTTCAATTCAGTTGAACTGGAAGCAGGAAGAACTGAAGTAGGTTAATTCTCCTATGTCTAGTTTATCATATTCTGCTTTTACAAACCTTCTAGTCAGGAGCAAACAATACCTTTATCAGTACAGTGAAACACATATTTTAAACTGTTGAGAACACATACCTGAAACTGAACTCTTGGACACTGTATAAGAGAGAGGTTAGTACCAATTTTTCTTACAATACTTCGAGATGAACCATAGGGTTTGCTTGACCAAAGCACCTGGATGCAAAGAAAAAAAGAAGCCAGCTGTTAGGGAACAGATTTTTATATCATATTGTAATAGTTCTCCCTTATCCTTCAATACTATGCTTGTGCTGACTGTATTTGGTTATTCCTTTCATGCTAGAATAGAATACAACATATATACACTGAAATCTGTATCAGTGAACTCCTTACATCCTATACTTAAATTGATACAAGATTTCTTCGTGTCATTACAATATAGCTACGGCTGCTGAAGGTCAAGACAGACTTTGCATTAAATCTAAACTCAAAGCAATAAATCAGGTAACACAGAAAAATTCAAGAGTCGGAAGCATCTTCAAAAACATAATTTGTTGATTTTCAAGACAACAAAGAATCTACATCAGGTCAGACAGCTCTTTTAATAGGGTTTCAAGAAAAGACATTCAATCATTGAAAACTCCATAAAGTTATGTAATTCTACCTGTCCCAAAATATCTCTTTTCTTTTTTAATTAAGAGCTCTTCTACAACAGGAATAACATCCACTAGTCTTACCAGAAATAACTATTAACTATAATAAACCGGAAAATGTCACTGTGAAATTAACGAGCAAAGGAAAGTAAAAAGGGAAAAATAAAATGAAATTTTTTTAAGAAAGAAACTTTGTCCTAAAAAATCACACTCAAACATTTACCTAGAGAAAACTCCCCAAGGCACCTCAACACACCTTGCTTCATCAGAACTGTTTCTACTCTGCAATTTAGATTTCCTCCACATTGTTTCAATGGGGATTAAATTTGCTTTCTTCTGTTGTATTTAATGTTTGCTCAATTATTTATCATAATTGCATGAAATCAAATAAAATGGGACTTTGATCCTAGGAGAATACTTCAAAATGAACCAGAGTAGAAGTAAAATGTACCAGAGAGAGGTATGAAAGATTTCAGCACAGGGAAAGGCAACAAAAACAATGCAAAGAAGAAAAAGAATAATGAGAAGACTCTCACACAGGGTACATTGTTAGCAAACAATCAGAACACTGTATGGTAATTTAAAAACTTGGCCAGTGTTTGCTTATGGCTGTAAATATGAATTTACCACTGAGAGATTTTAAAGGCTCATAGCTTCAAGCAAACTCAACATCCTGTTAGAAGGTTGCCTGACAATGAACACTTAGATTAAGTCCAGGCTATTAATACTGAAACAACCCTTATCTGGCACAGCAATATTGCCTGTATTGCACTGTAGTACAGCTGTGGGAGTTCTTCAACACACAGCAAAACTATACACAGCAGATATAATAAGCAAAGATCACTAGTCTTAGATGTTGAAGGTTCTATTACAAAGAAAAGTTTATGCTTCCTGGTATTTATCCCCAGACTACCTCAGAAACTTTACACAAACATTTGGCCTATTTCTAAACAACTATCTTTCCCTCCTCTGGCTTTAAGAGAATATAAAAATGTTGACAAAATAAATGTGCACTGCACATATGCTATTCTAGATACAGGAGGTCTTTAACTTTGCCATGAATCCACTCAGATTAATTTTTTTTCACTCTATGAAACACATTCTGTTGCTCAATACTCTGCTAAGTCTGAACACAAATGTTTCAATGCAGAGTATTGATTCTGCACTTTGGCTGCCCCAACAAAGACCTCACGTTTGTGACCATCACATGTCTGTTTGCGTCTGAGCAAACAGCAGGTAGGTCAGTGGCCTTCAAGAAAAAGTATCACAGTAATACAACTGATTCTGGTGTTTGAAGCAGAAATGTCGGCAATAGCCTCAAAGTGATGTGGCACTGGAAAAAATCATAATACCAGTCAAGGGAAGGCTTAATTACAGAAGTATTTCCACAACAGCAAGAGAGCCCAGACCACATGCTGTCTTACCAACATAAGTGCAGTGCATTTTAAACAAGTGGCAAAACTTGTTTGGAGATTGCTCAGACCACAGACAATATGTTGACTAGCACCCAGATACTCAAAAATATTTGGTGCCCAAATGCCCTCAGGGCTCTTCAATCCCAGTGGCCTGGTGCACCAAATGACCCAGCTGTGGTAATTCAAGATGTGCCAGGACAATATTTTCATGGAAGCTGTGCCACAATGCATGCAAGTAAAGTCAGTGCACTGCTCAGCTCAGCTACTCAGTCCCAGAACTGCTCTAACCAGGTTCACACAGCTTCTTGTTGACTTGAAGCCCTGGCAGAGCAAGCCTGCAAAATATTACTTAGTCATACACTCTTATTGCATCAGTGTTTTGCTGTTGTCCAGAACAGCTGACATTTGGAAATGTAACTGCATTATCACAAGCTTGATATAAGTAGAGAATGGTGGGAAACAGACTAAAAACTTGTTCCTCTCCCTATTTAGGCTGAAATTGCTGAATTGTGCAGCAACACCCATGGTAATGCTACATATTCTTATACTTTGAATTTTCAAAGTTACATAAAAATCTCAGATCAAAGTTCAAATAAAATCCCAAAATACAGATTCTTGTTGGCAATTTTAATTTGCTATGTATAAACATTTTGCTATCCATAGATTCCCAACACCAATAAAAAGTTCTACCACAATAATACAAAGAACTGCACATAGCTGTTAAGGATTTCCCCATTGTTAAAACATTAAAATATTTTAACAACTTACAGGGATTACTGCACACTTGAGGCCTACACTTGCACTCAAAATAGCTTCCTAAAGTCTCAGTGACAAAGCAGCTGATGTACAGCAGCTCTCTCTCTCTGCTGAGCATTCAAAGAAATCTATGTACACACTTTCCTCCAAGAGGAGAGCTGTGCATGCACATTCCTCTGTTCAGCCAGCACAGAACACAGCCGTCTTGCTCCCATGTGCTGTCACACTTTCAGAAGAGGTAAATATAGCACAATTATGACCATCTCAGTTTCATAGGCCTTTTTGTATCTCCAAGGTAAGAGCAAGAAATACTTTTTTTATCACTGGAAGTTCTCCTTCAGCTTCAAAACACACATGGAAGTCCAGCATGAAAGGCAGTGTTTACAAAGCAAACAGTTTGTTATTAGGGCTAGGAGGAACTGCATGGTTCTTTTAACACATACATTACTGAATACTTCAGTGTCCAAGCTGTAAGCTTCATGATTTTTCAGCAATGCAGAATCAGTATTGAGTGTTCTGTTAAAACTGACAAGCACAAACTAAAATACACGAAGTGCTTTCTATACCTGATTTTCTGAAAACATAAAGGAAGTTTGAGACACTTACTGATTCCATCTTCAATCCAACTTGTTCAAATGCCATCCTAATTAAGCGCTTAAGCCAGCAAATCATCTGGAATGGAAAAGGCCTTTCCAAACTTGGATTTAAGCCTTCCAAACCTACGGGGCTGCCAAGGTTCCATAGTAGTTCTGAAATGAGACACAAGAATTTTAGATGCATGTTGTGGAACATACACAGAAGTAAACTGCTACATGTATTCCTAAAAAAACAAGCTTTAGAAACAGTCAGTGAAAACAAGACATATTAGATGACACCAATTCCTGGTACTGCAAAGCAAAGGCATTAGGAAGGCATTTATTTACTCAATTCAGGTAACAAAGCCTTTTTAGTAGGGTCTTTTTTATAGAATCCTAGAATGGTCTGTGTTGGAAGGGACCTTAAAAAATCATCTTTTTCCAACCCTCCTGCCATGGGCAGGGACAACTTCCACTAGACCAGTTGGCTCAGGGCCTTATCCAACATGGCCTTGAACACTTCCAGGGAGGGGCATCCACAACTTCTGTGGGCAACCTGTTCCACTGCCTCACCACCCTTGCAGTGGTACGTATCTAATCCAAACCTATCTCTTTCAGTTTTAAGCCATTGCCCCTTGTCCTATCACTACATGCCCCTGTAAAAGTCCCTCTCCAGCTCTCTAGTAGCCCCCTTCAGGTACTGGAAAGAAATCAAAGCCATTGTAAAGTTAACATTAACATGATTCTCTAAGCGAGCATCAAGCCCTATGGAATGCCTGCAGTTAGGGATCAGCACTAAGATCCAAGTGCCATGCCATATCTAAAACTCATTTCTATGCAGGAACTGACTGCAGAAAGCTGACCACCCCTCTTGATTCACATTCTCTGACAGCTTTGTTGTTTCTTCTTTTTTCCTACAACTAAGGAAAGAAAGGAAACATGGAAAAATGACTAATGCAAGAAAATGACAGGAAATACTGTAGATGTGGGAACTGAAAATATTCAAGCAGTTTATAAAGCTGGACAGATTTCAAATTTTGTCTATTTATATACACATCCATTCACTTAAATCAAGATGGTTTTATTGCTCCTTTAGTGAAAACGGTATAATTTTTCTTTAACTGTGTTCAGCACCAGTCATAACTTGGATGCCACTGAGAAGTGTATGCCACCAAAACCAGGAAAGGAAGCCATAGATTTAGGTTTACGTTTGGTTTGTGTATCAGGCTGGAAACAACGCTCTGTTGAACCACCCTGAGCAACATATTTGTAGTATGAACAACAGTGTTGCTGAAGCCACTCTGAACACAGACTGATGACTAAAGCAGTGTAGCAGCAAGGAACCGGTACGTGGGAAGTTGGAAAGGCAGGAGATGGAAAACCTATGCTGTTTGAAAGTGCTCACAAGCCCTACAGTTAAACCATCACTGTTTCCATTACAGATTTTTTTTCAACAGTTTGTGATTCCTTACTAATAACCTACTTCTTGTGGAAACTTGGCAGAAACAGGGCAATTCTTCAGTTATCTTTTTTTAGACAAGCTTAAAAAAAAATGTTGATATTAAGTTTCTCATCCCCACAGATAATAAAATACATTTCCCAACAGGAAGCTACAGTCATTCATCATAAATAAATAAGTCATGGACTTCTCTGTGGAACTCTGGAGAAGTCTGTTAGGGGAGCATTACCATCTACTCCACCTATTATTCCTTTAGGCATCTGCTACTCTTCCCTTAGACAACCTACCGTATGGACTGTGTGGATATTTGATCACACTGCACCTGCTGTGCTCTTAAAACAGGAAGAACATAAGTATTTCTAGGTGCCTCACATTAGATTTGGCATCATATCTGGCACTGCAGACATGCAGTAACATAAAAGAGACAGGAACGCTTCTTTAAAAGGGGAAACCTGATCCAAAAGTGTGATACATGCGATACACTCCACCTCACTTCAAAGTCAAGACTTGCTGAACATGCAGTGTGGAAATCAAAGGGAAGAAAAACGGAAGCTGTGTCAAGACATTCAAACAAAAGAGAAGAAAAGGCAGAGTACTGCTGAGCAACTGCAAGGCAGGGTTGGCTGAGAAAGGCAAGGGATAGGGCTAAAAGGAATGACTGTACCCTGATACACTGCTCTTTCAAGAGATAGCCAGGTTATTAGTTTAAAAATCCCCAGACAAAGTCAGAGTCATGTGTTGTTTCAGGAAGTGAAGAAAAGGTCTTATTTTGTTTCTGATCCACTGAGAAGCCCCAGTCTTTAATAACAGAAACAATTGGGACAGAAGTAAAAACAGAGTGTTAGAACTTTCTCTGAGAAAACCAGAGCAGGTTTAGAAAGTTTCCATGAATTTAAGAAATTTAAAGGCAAAGAGGTAAAGGACCAACACAAAAACTGACAAAACAACCAATTAAAGGCATAAAATCAGATGTAGAAAAAAAGTAGCATAATATGAGGATGACAGAACAGTATAAATATGAAGTAGTAAGCTAAAAAAGGCTAAGGTACAAAATGGGTTCCAGTTTACAGACATAAAAGAAGTCCTACCCAGGTATTGGCAGTAAGAGACAAGAGATACAGCACAATGTAACAGGAGAGGAGAGAAATCAACGAGAGATATGGACAGTCAGTATATTCAGTGTTTTAACTTGAGGATGGCAGAAAAGACAGACAGATGGTAGAATGGTTTACAGATAGCTCTGAAAAGTTATGAATATCCAGGACAACAGTATCTAGAGATTTTTACCTTGCAAAGTACAGAAACCAGCCAAAGCGATTTCTGAAATATTAGTGATTAATTTTAGAAACTTGTTCAGTGAGGTCCAAAAGATCCAGGAACAAAAGGAGCATGATGACATAAAGCATTGGAAATAGTCCAAAACACTTATCCTGCCCTAAAACATTAAGGTGCCCTTTGATAATTCCAGGTTTTAAGACTCTGATGACAAAGCACAAAAGGGCATGCATTGAACAAAACAAATAGTTCAGTAAAATTAATATTTATTGTTCATTTTGTAAGTGATTTTTAACTCTGTAGCCTAAATACTTCAAGTACCTAAGACTGGGGTCATCAATGCCTTGCTCTTGTGAATGACCTGCCTGCTTTTGCAGCAGAAAGTGACTGAAATCAGTCTGTAAGAGTGCAGAGTACCACCCAGTTCCTGAATTAGTTTCCTTAGTTTATGGTACTAAGGAAAACCACCATGTTTGAACAATCTCCAGCTAATCTGTTATCTAAATGGAAAAGGCTTCTAAGTAAATCAGCTTGATATTTTTATAAAATTATTAGTTCTACAGAATTATCCCCAGCCAAACTTCCTCCTCATTTCTTCCAGGCTATATTGCATTACACCTTTCTTCACCAAACTTAGATATTTCACAATTGGTTTATGTGCCAAGAACAGACAGAGTTCATTCCAAAAGAAACTGCTGGACAGCAAGAATGGAAGTTTTAGCAAATTTTTCTCTCCTCCTTTGTATACATGTCAATTTCAGAAGCAGGAGTTAATGTTAATGCTTTTAGTAACAATACCTCTTTTAAAATACTGATCTTGGGGGTATTTATCATCTATTTTCTTGGTGCTACCTACACTAAAAATAGTAGTAGTTGAATTCCCCTAGAATTTCCACAACTCAATTACTACAATAAAGAGCCCTGAGTAATAGTAATATTGGTATAAAAATTGGTCTTTCTGCTCTGCCTCAGCAAAACTATTACAAGCACAAGCAGCAGTCACAGACAAGATTACCAAGAGATTTGAAGAACAGCACAAAGTATTACATTTCACTGCACAAAGCACAAAGGGATTGGAATTTCACAGGTTCATTTAAATGAAACCTCAAAATTAGCAATGCTGAAGAACTTTCTTTCTGATATGGAAACAGGCAGGAATTCCCTCGTTTAGAAATTAGGAGGTCTACATTTCCAAGTGTAGGGATCCTCATTTTAGCCTCCTTGAGCTCTGTTTTGCCCCTACTCTTCCCAACCACTTTTGCAGGTTTCATTCAATACTGTTGTATCAAATATCAAGTCTACAAAGCTGAGAGATAATACCACTTTTAAATTACAAAATGCTCATTAAATAAATATAAAGGCTTTGGAGTCTGTACACATAAGGCATAACATTCAGTAAATAAGAAACAGGAGCCCTTTGCCAGGCTTTTTAGTGAGTCCTACACATGAGAGATGAAAAGAAAGAGAAATCAGATGCAACTGCTTTCAAATTGAAACTCTTCTATGTATATTTTCCATATTTGTTCAAGTCCCTTTCAAAGCATAAGTTCTCACTCTTAAAAAGAAATACGATGTTCATTTTTTTCCTACTGAAGTAAGTTTCTCTCATTCACTTCATATCCACACAGAAATAAAAGAGAATGACTTAATGTGCTTGATGGAGCAGATCAGCTTTAACAAAGAATAAAAAAGGGCATGAAATCTGAAAAATTAAAGCTCTAGTCTCTATATTGAAAGGGTATAACATAAAGAAGCACAAAATCTTCAAAGAAGCATGTGTTCAAAGGAATACCACCAACAAAAAAAATCAAACACAAAAAGATCAGGCTCCTCATTATTTCAGCAAGAACTAGGGCAAGCATATCTCCCCAGTCTTTTAGACTGACACATGAACCAAGCTCATCTAATGAAATTACAACCACAAGGAAACATATTTAAAAAGTAATAAAGAAAGATAAAGCCAACAAAACATTATCACAGCAACAGCCAAAGGGGCAGGAACAATCTCCTGATAAAGGACCAGATCCTCTCCCAAACTGACACAGACCAGTTACAAGTTACTTAAGTGTCAGAGGTCACACAGCCAAAAACAGAGGTCTATTTTTTGGTGTGGAAGCCACAAATAATAAAGCACCCAAGAACTTTCAGAAACACCTGTTTGGAAAGATATGCAGAGACAGACAAAAGTCAGTGAATACTGCAGAGACAATCAAGGGCTTAGCTAAGCTAGTACCCGCGTGAAATCTAAAGCAGGAATTGAAAATGATACATACTTGCAACAGAACTTGCTAAAACTTTCTTGAAAATATAGCATATTTTCATGCATACCTGAGAGTGCAAAACCGCATTCATCACATCTCACTCACATTAACCTATCCTGCCAACTAAGGACAGAGAAAAAAAATAAATCCATGTTTCAGCACTAGTTTAATCAAAAGCCTTTGCTCAGCAGAGATCGTACCTGCACAGTGTACTGTGATACCACTGAGAGGTAACTGAAACCCTTCACCATATACCATGTGGTGTTACATGGTACAGACACAACCACACACCTACACTGCCCTGCCAGACGGACAGACCTCTCCGGTAATCGCTGTGAACACCAGGTTTTCTGCTACAGCTTTGAGAAACACCACCATGCAAATCTGACTAACAAGAGGGTGTGCTTGTCTGAAAAAAAGCATTTTAAATACCCATTTTTTCCCCCGGAAATCTCTCTTTGTAACAATGTTGAGTTCCTACACACAGCAATCATATTTTAGCTAGTGACCCCTACGAAGCAAGTTACTTGGATTCGGCAACAACTAACTAGAACTTCTAGAGATGATGTGCAGATAACTCAGCTGCCTTCTTTTCTCTTTATCAACTAGCTAAAAAGCAGTGGGGATCAGAAGACGCAATTCCTTTTCATTTCGTCTTTGTAAGTCTTGCCTTCACAAGGGCTGCAGAGCCCTACGGCTGCATGAGGACAAGCATGTAAATAACGTTAATGAAGTCCTGCTGACGCTGTCAGGCCCAGGTCAATGCACTACGGTTGATTTCAGAATTCAAAATGTACTCACGCTCAATATTTAGAATTTCAACAGCTTGATAAACAAAATGAAAACAAGCGTCCAGCAAGTTACTTATTTATGACCACTGCAGAAGAACCTGAGCCTGGCAGTAGTATCACTGAAGGTGTAAAAAGCAAGGAGAGTAAGTTTAAAGAAAAGGGAAATAAAAGCACCAGACTCCTTAAGGCTCATTTTCTCTCTATACATCAACCCTGTATTTTACAGCCTCCTTAAAAAGCTTCCCTCAGCTTTCCCTGGATTATCTTTTATTTACACTATTCCTTGTGACCCGTCACCCCTATCGCAGCAGTTCGCCTGCAGGCGCGACCGCTTCGACCCCGGCCTCCCGAGCCGCTCCCGCGGCCTGGCACCTGCCCTGCCCCGCCCGGGACGAGTCCCAGGCGCCGCCACGCTCCTGGCGGGAGGAGGGATGGCCCTGCCCGAGGACAGCGGCCTGTACCTACCGCCGGTCAAGCGGCACCGCTGCCGCACCTCCTTCCCCCCCCCGTCCCCTCTCGCACCGCCCCCCACCCGAGATCGGCCGCGCCAAGAGGGGTTCCCATGGGAAGGGGATTCCCGTCCCCCCCACCCCGCCGCGCCTCACCCGCCGCCGCCGCCGACGCCGCCGCCTCACCGCTGCTCGCGCGGCCGCCCGCGAGCCGCCCCCGCCAGCCAATCCGCGCCCGCCTCGGCACCGCTCTGGCCAATCGTGGGTGCGCCCGTGCCCGCGGGAGGCGGGACTTGGAGGGCGTCCGCTGTGAGGCGAAATACCCGGCAGGGGCGGGGCAGCGCGCGAGGTCACGTGAGCAGGACCCCCTCCCGATAAGGGCGGGGCCACGAGAGGGTGATGGAGGCATGGTGTCGGTCCTGATCTCCTCGTGGGGGTTCGGGGGTGACCTTACTTCTCTTTACAGCTACCTAGGAGGAGGTTGTAGCCAGCTGGGGATCGGTCTCTTCTGCCAGGCAACTAGTGACATGATGAGAGGATGTGGCCCCAGGCTGTGCCAGGAGAGGTTTAGGTTGGACATTAGGAGGAATTTCTTCACAGAGAGGACGATTAAACTTTGGAATGAGATGCCTGGGGAAGTGGAGAGAGTCACCCTCCCTAGAGGTGTTCAGGAAAAGACTGGATGTGGCACTCAGTGCTGGGGGGGTAGTGACACGGTGGTGTTCGGTCATAGGTCCTACTCTGGCGATCTCAGAGGCCTTTTCCAACCTAATTCCGTGTTTCTGAGGCGGTGGGGAAGGGCAGCGGCGCTCCCTTGTCTCCGCCGAGCCGGCGCTGCGGTGGGTGTCTGGGGGCTGTTCCCGGCGGGTGCGGGCTGCGGCGCCGCCCGGGGCTCCCTGGGTGGCGTCCGACGTGTCCCGGTAAAACCTGGTAGGAAGCACCACCAGGACCGCTGGGTGATCGGGATCCCTGGGACTCAGAGGGCGCAGGGTGGGTTGCGGGGCAGAGGGGAGATTCCTCGTGCTGAATTCATTTCAGGATTACTTCGGGGGTGTTTCCAGCTTTACAAACTTTACTGAGAACTTTGCTCAACCATTTCAAAATAAGGGCAAAGGTGACGAGTGGAGGAATATGGAAATGGAAAACCTTTGCTTGGAAAACTTGGGGGGCACGGGAACCCAAACCTTCAATAAAGGATCAAGATGTTGGACCCGATGCTGTTAGAGGGTTTTTCCAGGCCTAACGATTCCTTGATTCTATTTTAAAACAAATTTAATTGTCGAGGTCTACCTCCTTCGGATTTCCAAACGGGGAGTCGGCACTGTGTCTCCATGCAGCATCGGGTGTGATTCACACTATATTGTTTTACAGTACATGTTACACTTTTCTTGAGCAGCAAAATCAGCTTCTCGACGTGACTGCCTATGGGGAAAAAAAAAATCAAACCAACAATAAAACAAAACCAAACGGAGCATCGTCTCTGCCGGGTGGGGGGGGGTGGGGGGAGGGGGGGGTCCAGACTGCTGTCCCCGGACTACAACTCCCGGCGCGCATCGCGTCCCTCCAGGAACAAAGCGCAGAGCGATTGGGGGAGAGCCGCGCCCGGCGCTGGGCCAATCGCGGCGCGTCGTGCTGCCCGGTGCCGGGTCAGAGCGGGCCCGGCGGGCGGTGCGGGGCTCTGGTTCCGCCGCTGCTCCCAGTGGTGATCCCGCTGCTCTTCCCGGGCTTCACCGTCGCTCTTCGCAGGCCGCGCCGCCCCGCGGGACATGGGGGCGCGGGGCTGAGCTGTCCCGCCGTCCGGAGACTCCTTCTGCGACGGTAGGGCCCTGCCGGGGAGGGGAACAGGCCGCGCCGGGGAAGGGCCGCGGGTTCAGCCGAGGCTCCCCCCGCTGTCCCGGAGCTCACGATGCTGAGCCTCCGCCGGGAGCTGAGCCGCGGGGCCTGTTCGCCGCCGGGCTGCGGGCTCGGCCGCTCGGGGGGCGCTGGCAGCGGGTGCGGGGCTGCGGAGCTGTCTCCCCGGGGGCCTCTCCAGAGGGGGCACAGAGCAGTAGAGAGAGAGAGAGAGAAGAGAGCGAGCGAGCTGCGATGTGCTGGGGTTTGATCCCAGAGCTACGAGGAGGGGAGATGAGCCGACACCTGGCTCGCTGTTCTGCCCGGCTCCGAAATTCTAGATAACTTCTTAGAACTTTTAAAGCAGTTTAATGTTCTTAATAAAAAAACGCCAACAGAGGTGGAGGAGGCGAGTTTTCATAAAATTGGTTCTTGCAGGTCATGGTGAGGACTTAAGGTATCCCCGCAGTTGTGACTGAGGAGAGATAGATAAGGGTCTGGGAGAACATAAAAGCACGGAATGATTTGGATTGGAAGGGACCTTAAAGGTCTCTGGTTCCAACCCCTCTACCGTGAGCAGGGACACCCTCCATTAGACTCAGAGCTCCATCCAACCTGGCCTTGAACACTTGCAGGGATGGGGCATCCACAGCTTCTCTAAGCAACCTGTTCCGGTGCCTCACCATCCTCACAGCAAAGGATTTCTTTCCAATATCCATTCTAAACCTACTCTCTTTCAGTTTGAAGTCATTCCTACTTGTCATATCACTGCATGCTCTTGTAAAAAGTCCATCTCCAGCTTTCTTGTAGGTTCCCTTCAGATGACTGTGGCCTAATGGGATAGGAGGGGGTAAAATTTGGTTTCTTTGTTGTTATTTTTTTTTCCTCGAAGATTAGAAAGAAAAAGGTAAAAGATGATTGGGATAGAAAGAGTTGTGGGAATGATCTGGTGTTTGGATTCAGAACTTGAACTCAGAGACTTTGGTTGGCACCAGCTCCACCACTGATTCAATTTTTAAGTTTTGAATAAGTTACTTTGTGAACAATGTAAAGTAATAATATTCAAGAGTTGCTTTGCTTTTGTTTTGTTGTTGGTTTTTTTTCTTTAATTTAGAATTGTTTTCTTTGGAAATACAAACTTGTTTGTTGGTTGTGCTGCTGTATCTCCTAGTTGATCTCTCTTGGACTTGTGATAGTCAAGAAAAATAGCCTGGAGACTAATCATTGACATGTACTTTTCACTTTAGCACTGCCTTTCCAGAAGGAAGAAGCAGTGACTTGGAGATTAACAGTACTTTTTCTTTGTAAAAATGTCAGAAATAATCATAATCCAAATGCACATTTGTGGCTCTTTTTTTTTTTTTTTTAATGAGTGTGATTAATTTGTGTTGCTGAAAGGCCAACCTTTGGTGAGAAAAAACTAAATGATGTTTGTAGAGTAGTAGTTGGTTGGCAAATGATGTTAAGAGATGTTAAAGTGACGTTAGAAATTTAATTTGTTTTATTTTTATTCGGGCAAAACGAGTTATTTAGCAAATTAACAATACGTATTTATTTACTTGCACTTCTGTGCCTTAAAGAAAGTTACTTGGATGAGCTGGTACTTTGCAGCAACCAGGAGCACAGTTAGTGTTTAGTAGTTTCAGAGGCACGTAATCAGTCTCAGGAAAGAAACTAGTTTTTTGCACCAAGATACAGTATTTTCTCTGAGTAAGCTTATGCTTTTGTTGCCTGTTAAGTAGTTATTATTAAACAACCGCGAAATTCGATACCCTCAAGCTAACATGTGTCTCCTTTGAAATTGATCTAGTGGCTCGGGCTTCAGCTGGAGCAAGGCGTGACCTGCTTGCTCTTGTTGTATTGACAGTGAAAAGGGAAAAAACCACCCCAAACCCAGCCTATAAAACCCTTTTTGCTTTCAAGTATGGCATTACAGTAGTTATCTTGTGTGTATATATATATATATATATTTATACACACATATGTAGAATAACATTTTATGTTCACTGTTCTGGATGAAATGTTAGTATTTTGCTGGCTTTTCTGGTTGGGGTTTTTTTTCTGTAAAATTTGCTGATTGCCAAAACTACTTTGAAAATATGTATTTTGAATTTACATTTGTTTACACAGAAGTATGTTTGCAGACTTCTAGGGTACCTTGTGAAAAAAAATGGATTTCCTGGAAAGATCTATCAATAGTATAAAAAAAATACAAACAAACATACTCCCATAGAGGCTGACTGGTCTGAAATTACATATAGGAAACAAATAAAAATCTTATTAACCAAACATACCTTTTCTCTGCATAGGTAGTTTAGATCCAGTTTACAAGTTTCAAGATCCATTCAAGATCAATTCCATCCATCCATGTTTTAAGAATTCTAGTCCTTGTTTCTTGTATGCTTCTTTGCTTAGAATGAATCAGTGCCTTTGTGCTTTTTCTTATCTGTGTTTCAATTAAGAGTAAGTATTGTGGTAGTAGTAATACAGTTGGGTTGTTTTTTTTTTTTTTTTAACCAGCAGGTATATTTTGTATGCATGGTGCAGAAAAAATGAATTCTGCTATGAGTGAGGAGCCTGATGCACTCTCTGTAGTTAACCAACTCCGAGATCTAGCAGCTGATCCCTTGAACAGACGGGCCATTGTTCAGGATCAAGGATGCCTGCCAGGTCTTATTCTGTTTTTGGACCATCCCAACCCTCCAGTGGTTCATTCAGCTTTACTAGTAAGTATTCTGGGAATAAATTCGTATGTTGGTAGGGCATTTTCAAACTTTGTTAAACAAGCTGCTTAAACAAACAGCTTATAAACAAAACTGTTTAAACAGTTTGATTAAACAAGGAAAAAAAAAAGCCACCTGGTTTTGTGTTTGTTGATATTCGTTATATGTATTTTTTTAAAAAACATATATTCCAGAAAATTTTTAGCAATGACACGTTATTCCAGGGTTGACTTCTTTCAAGATGTTAATTCACTTTGCATTTTTTCCCTAATACAGCTATTTCACTTTTTGTGTGGAGGGAGGTAAGGACCCTTAAATCTCTTTCTTAAGATGAAGTCATGGAGCTTGGTAAATGTGCACAGTGATTTGACATTCACAGTGGAAAAAAACAAAAAAACCCAAATCATAGGGTAATTTAAGTTAGAAACAACCTCCAGAGGTTATGTAGTCCAATCCCATGCCCAAATAAAGTGCACTAAAATCACAGCTCGGAGTTGTGCCTGTTTGATTTTGAACACCATGAAGGATGGCGATTCCATAACCTCTCTGGCACCCTGTTCCAGCATTTGACCACCCTCATGGTATTAAAAACAAATGAAACCCTCTCAAAACCCAAAGAACCAGCCAACCCAAAATCTATTGATGTCTAATACAACTTGTTCCTGCTTTCATCTGTTTCTTCTCATTCTAAGTCGTGAACACTGAAGGCCCAGTTTCTTATCCTGAATCTGAATACTGATCTAAAGTGCATTTATTGCTTAAAAGTGAGACAAATGAAAGTCAAAATTGAGTTATTTGAAAACTGAATTAGACTTTTAAGATTTCAAGTTACTGAAATTTATGTGGTGCTCTTTTTTTCTTCCGTTTTTATGTCCTTATTGAATTGTAAATCACGTGAAAGAAAAAAGAACTCTGACTTTTACATGCAAGTAAACATTATTCTTTATGTCACTGAGTGACATCTCTGTACCATAATTTTTTATTCTTCATTTGGGTTGCTGTCATAGTAGATATTAGTAGACTTCTTGGAATTAGCTTAATGACTCTGATATTCTTTTGGGTTTTGGGAATAAGGTCTCATAATTCAGGAAACCTGTATCCTGCTAATTGTTCTTTAGGTTAGCCTTGCTGTAGCACTTGTCAGATTACAGTGTCCTTGAGTAAGAGAACTTTGACTTTACTGTACTTGGGAATATGTTGCATTGGTTTTCTTTCCAGTGTGGTTTCCTTTAGGTTGTGTTCTTAAAAGAAGATCTTGTGTTTGGATGTCTTTTTCCTTCTTCTGTTCCATTGGGCTATGTATTCTCACAGCCTGCATGAGATTCAGAAATCAGTCATGTGGTCATGTTACAAAAACTAACTCTACACAAAAAAGACTGGCTTTGTCAGAGTGGTGAGGACTAGTGCAGTTTGCAGTGTGGTTCCACAGCCCCAGATAGTACTCAAGTTGTGTTGTAAGGACATCTCGTTGGGTGAGAATGGGACACAGCTTGGTTGTTCCATTTAGGGATAACTTAAAGTTAGAGTTTATTAAGAATTGGGATTTAGAGAAGACTGTGCTAGATCCCAGGACCCAGGCTGCAATGAGAAATGGGTCAGTTTACTGTGAAAACATGCTTTGGTCTGCTGCTCAGACTCCTTGTGTTCAGAGTTCTTCAACTGCTTAGGTTCTGTAGCTTTTAAAATCTTCACTGATAACTTTTCAGTTTTCATATTTTGTATTTTTCTGTTCTGAAAAGCCCTTTGGTTTTGTTTTTCTAGTCATCCAATTAGTCAAAAGGTGCTTCCGTTAGGATGGGAATCATTAAATGTAATGATCTTTCATCAAGTTTATATCTTATAAAGGGATATACAGTGCTGATTTTCAATTATTATGCTTTTCTGGGATTTCTCTACCTGAAATTATAATAATCTCTATGAATCATAATAATTGCCTGTTTAACTTTTTTGATATGTTATAGAATCTTTCAGGGAAGGTGTTTTCCTCCTCCTGTGCAGTTACAACTCAGCTTTTCTTCTGTCTGATCAAGAAGTGATATATATTTTCTGTAGTTTTCTCTACTCTTGATTTCAGGAAGTCTTTATAATACACTTCAAATTCTAAGAGTTTTGAATGATTTAAATTAAAAAGATGAGAAGTAACCTGGGCAATACTGCCTTCTTTACCTCTTAAATTTGGACTAAAATTTTAAAAAATAGAACTTGAAAGTTAAGAAACTACCTTAAAATTTCACTTAAAACCATCAAAGATGCCTCTTGTTATTAAAATTGACAACAGTTGTGTTTTATATTGAAGTGTGGAGGTATTCCTGTTGGCTGTGATGAACTTACTTGTGGGCCTTAAAGGTAACATAGATACGTGTTTAGCTGAACAAAGGTTGAGCCAAAGTTCATAACAGTAACCTTCCCTGTGCTTTCAGTATACTGGATTTAATAAGTATAAATGATCTCACTTCTTGGAAGGTTCAGACCTTTTTATCTCCCATGGCGGGGGGCAGGGGAATAGGAACTTCCTTACGTTGAAAAGTTGGGTCACTTAAGTTGGTGTCACGACTTTGCCTTTGATGTTATTCTAGTGGAAGTTACATTTGTGTGCTAAGAGTATATAACAGATACAAAAGAGACTGCCTGTGTTTTGTCTCAAAAAATCAGCTATTAAGGGAATAGGTTTGTCTTTGTCTAGCTGGATTGTACCTTTACTAATTGCCAGAGATTAATAAAAATGAGAAACTTGTTCCACAAATAAGGATACATTTCATAGTATGCAAGTTAGTTCAGAGCTATTATTTATTTATTTATTAATTTTCCCATAGTTGAAAAGTAAGATAATAAATGCATATACAGCATTTATAGGCTGCAACTATCGATACTGATCCACATCAGGAAATAACAAAAATCACTTCTAAAGTTTTTATCATGCCAGACAGCAGCCAGAGTTTCTCAAAAGGCAATAAAATGGTCTTGTGAATTATACCTAATATGTGCTGAAGATGACTTGGGAAAAAAAAACCACCTCAAGTGATTAGTTCTCTATTTCTGAAGGGATTAAGGAGCATGTTATTTTTAAAGCAGTTACTGAGCAGTGTAGCTATTATATGACTATATTTAAAGAATCAGTGCACTTCTAAACATATCACAAAACCCGTTTTATAAATTATTGTATTTGTGTATTGCAGGATTTTGCAAGTGCAGTTCTTGTACCTGCATCAATAAAACACCTTTGGAAGTTCCTTCTAAGAAAACTTTTTTTCAGCACAAACTATAGAGAAGTATCTCGTGCAGAGGAGGACTGACACTGTAACTGGAAGGGAATGTTATGTTAGGAGGATCATACAGATATACAGGAGCCAGCTGGGGTCAGCAGTGTGAAACTGTGTGAAGAATCTACCTTCAAAGTCAAATAAACAAAATTTTGGGCAACAAATAAGTGTAAATACCCAGTTTAGGTAACAGTAAGATAAGCAGCTTGCTGCTATTTGCATTCTTGTTCCCGGAGTGATGGATTATTTGTGATATGATGAGCATTGCAACTAATCTTAAGCAAACTAAGCTTATACATGTGGTAGCCCTCTTTCTGTGGACAGTAGAGACTTGGTGGTGCTGAGTTTTCTACTACTGGGGAAGCCGATAGCATTGATGGAAATTATATTAGAAGCATCATGTATAAAAATTACTTTAGATCTCAGGTCACATAAATGTTTGTTGGAAGGGACTTCTGGAAGTCATTCACTTCAGCTTCCTGCTTGAATTGGGACTGTCACCAGCACTCAATCAGGTCAGTTGTAGCTTTGTCTCGTTGACTCTGCAGTTCCACTAGGTCATCTGTTCCAGTGCTATACTACCTTCAGAGGGAAAGAATTTTTTTGTAATACCTGACTTCAAACCCAAGCTACAATTTGGGGCTGCTCACCCTTGTTGCGTTGTCTGCTGCTGTAGAGGAAAGTTGGGCTTGATCATCTCTGTAAAGGCTTCTTGTGTAGCTGTAGGCAGCTGTTAGATTGTCCCTTAGACTCTCAGCCAGTATAAGCAAACCCAGTCTCTCAGCCTTTTCTCATAGATTAGATATTCTGTGCTTTCTATGTATTTATAAGAATAAAATAATTTTTTAATATTTACGATAGATAAAGCTTGCTCTTCTTACTAGAAGTGCCACCGTGAATGTTTTGCAGATGTGCACTAGTAGAAGCGACTGGTAACGTACTGGATGTGTTGCTGATTTGCTGTGGTCCTCTTTCTTTTAGGCTCTCCGCTACTTGGCCGAGTGCCGTGTCAACAGAGAAAAGATGAAAAGTGAATTGGGTATGATGCTCAGCTTACAGAATGTAATACAAAAGTAAGTTTACAGTGGGTTTTTGGGTCCAAAGAGTGTTAATGTAACATTCTGATGCAAAATGAAACTTTGGCTGTGAATCTGTAGACTGTTTCTAGTATTTCATTCTTCCCTGTTGAAATTACATGGCTGCAAGCAATTAATTGTTTTCATATTACAGTAGTCAGACCACAATCTACAAGAAATCCTAATTTGCAAGTCATTTGGCAAACAACAGTTTTCTTTGTTACCAATAACTAATTTTGTCCCTTGCCTTTAGTTTCTCTTATCCTTCTCATTTTAAAAGGGTGCCTTGCAGTCGTGCATTTAATGAAATTGTTTGGTATCTGCCACATATATTCTTTGAATCCCACCTTTGGGAAGGGACTTTGTTTCCATGTATTTTTGAAGGTAATGTGTCTGCAGCTCTCTGAGGAAGCATCTTGCAGGTGGAGTAGAAAGCTAATATGGTTTTTAGTCTCTGATATCTTTGTACAATGTGTCAGCTGGGTTTGAACCCTGTCAGGGTGGGGGATGAGCATCCACAGCCTCCCTGGGCAAGCTGTTCCAGTGTCTAACCACCTTCACAGTAAAGGATTTCTTCCTAATCTAACCTAAATTTTCCCTCTTTCAATTTATACCCATTTCTCCTTGTCCTGTCACTACAGTTCCTGATGAAGAGTTCCTCTTCTGCTTCCCTGTAGGCCCCCTTCAGATACTGGAAGGTTGCTAAGAGGTCTCCATGCAGCTTTCTCTTCTCCAGACTGAACAGCCCCAACTTTCTCAGCCTGTCTTTGTAGGGAGGTGCTCCAGTCCTCCTACCAACTTCATGGCCCTCCTCTGGATTTGCTCCAACAGTTCTGTGGGCTGCTTATACTGGGGACACCAGAACTGTTTGCTGTATTCCAGGTGGGGGTCTCACAAGAGCAGAACCATGTCCTCTGACCTGCTGGCTCCTTTTGATGCAGCCCAGGATTCAGTATTCTTGTTAGTAGATATTGCAGGATTATTGTTGTATCTCTGTCTGACACTGCTTTACCTGTCTATATGTGTGAACCTGAAAAACTGGAGGGCAGATTCTGATCTGTACACGAGTCCTGTGTGATATGTGATCAAGGAAATATTACATCTGGTTACCTTACTTTTCTTCATTAAATCTGCTGAAACTAAGAAGATTATGTATTGGCATGGAATTCTGAATTATGCCTAAGTATCATCTTCTTATTCACCAGTTACCCAAAAAACAAAGACTTAAAAAAATGTCTTAAGAAGAACAATGACCAAAATTACTAAAATTCAGATTTGCCTTATTTTTTGGAATAATGTGATAATTATACCTTTTTAAAGTGATAGGTGTCTTGAATATGACGCATAGGGGAAAAAATGAAATTTAAGTCTTACAGTTTTCACCTTTTTTTAAGGACAAGCATAATTAAGATAAAATGTAGAGAATTTTTTTCTTTCTACTGATATAATAACAATAAGACCTGAAATGTTTAGGTAGTAACAGAAACATGTATTTCAGAAGGACTTTTAGTATAGATAGCATGTCTATTTAGAGCGCAGAATAAGTTGTTGAAAGGGGAACGGTAGTTTATTATCAGTCTCTGCAGCTTACAAATATTACTTGGGAAACTTTGAAGAATTTAATGGAAATCTCTTCAACGTTTTTTCCTAGGTTTCAATTTCAAGGGTCGTAAGAATGTGAAGTTCAGAAACATGTAGGAAAGGAGAGATAAGTCATTAAAAACTGGAAATCTTGTAGGTGTTCTTTTTTTTTTTTCTAGAAAGCTCTTTGGCAAGAGTAAGAACATACATTTGATTTGTATGCCTGTAACATTTGGAAAGTGTGATATCATGAAAATTTAAATACATAGCATCTTCAAATACAAGACTTTGTCATGTGCTTGTCAGGATTTTAGGTTTTAATGTTGACAGGAAATGCTGAAGTTAAGTTTTGTGTTGCTTGGATAAATATGGAGAAAGATGGTTGAAAAGTGCCTAGAAGATAGATGTAAAATGATTTTTGTAATGAAAAAACAAAGGTTTGGGGTTGTGATTTGTCTCGTTAGAAAGTCTGTAGGGGAGAAAACTAGGTCTCTACAGTCTTTGATTTGCTTTACAAAATGTAGGTTTTAGCATTCAACGTGATTTCAGTTTACCAGAAGATTATATTGTCTGAACTGAAACTAAAGATTAACAAGTGCTCTGGTCTTAATGACTTCATGCTGTGTGTTCCCTTTTACTTCCAGAATCTGTGTATTTAGCTCATTGCTCTATCTATTTTTATTATTTCCAGAATTTAATTTGGGGGTTAGATTTTTTGGGGGTGATGTATTACAAAAATGCAAACAAATTGTACAAAAGAGATATGGACTTCTGACAGAATCCTGCTTTTCGAGTTATTGCTTGGTTCTCTCAAGAGAGACAGAACTCAGCATCTTTGGGAGCAAAAGATGTCAAGTCACAAACTGAGTATTTGTCATAGTTCGGACTTAAGTTAATGTTTGGCAGCGCTAAACTGACACTATGTTAGGAAGTTGAGTTTGTTTAGAATTCGAATTCTCCCTTCCTTGTGATGCAAATCCTGAAACTTGAGGGCTTTTCTCATCTTGTATCTCTTTATAAACCTTGAAGTTCTTTGTATTAGAGACCTCAAGTTCAAGTGTGGAATTTCTTGTCATAACCTACCTAGAGTTAACAGATCCTTAAGTGGTCAATGCCATCAACTGGAAAGTAGTTGGAATTGATTTGCAATTGATGACTTCTTGTAATAGTACATGGGAACCTCAGGCACAGGCCCAAACCTTTTTGTTGTAAGTAATAGCCAATGGAAAAAGAATATAGCACTTACTAAACTCATAATCATGAAGGGAAAGTACTGTTTCCTTCATAAGACTACTGAGGATGAGAGTTGAAATTGAGTGCCAGCTGTTTATCCAGTCATGGAATGGCCTGGGTTGGAAGGGACCTTCAAGATCATCTAGTTCCATGCCGTGGGCAGGGACACCTTCCACTACACAAAGTTGTTCAGAGCCCTATCCAACCTGGCCTTGAACAATTCCAAGGAAGGGGGATCCACAGTTCCTCTGGGCAACCTGTCCTAGTGCCTCCCCACCCTCACAATCAAGAATTTTTCCCTAATATCTAATCTAAACCAACTCTCTTTCAATGTGATACCATTCCCCCTTATCCTGTCACTACATGCTCTTGTAAATATTCTTTCTCCATCTTCCTTGGAGGCTTCCTTTAGGTACTGGAAGAATGCAGTTAGGTCATCCCAAAGCCTTCTCTTCTCCAGGCCAAGCAAACCCAATTCTCTCAACCTTTCGCTGTAGGAGAGATGCTCCATCCTTCTAATTACCTTGGTGTTTTCCTCTGGACCTGCTCTAGCAGGTCAATGTCCTTCCTGTGCTGGCGACCTCAGTGATAAGCAGTAAATCGTACTGCATCATGAAGAATGGGTAGGAAATATTCGAGACATCCAAGTTTAACAGTAGTTCTTTGAGGTACCTTAATATCTCTTTTCATGACTTACCCATCCTCTAGTATTATCTGATCAGCTTTTTTTGTATTTGTGTATAATAAAATTATTATAACTCAGTTGTGAAAATCATGCTGCTGCTTAAAAGGAATGTCTGGCTGACTCCTAAGTTGATACTACATTTCACCTAAGGAACAAAGGACAGGTTTTAGGTTCACTGATTTTTGAGATGTATGCACATAATCTTTTCCTAACAGAAGAGTAACAGATCTTAAATGTAGACACTGGAGGTTACAGGTTTTAGAGAAGAAATATGAAATGTCAGCTCTGAGGAGTACAGAATAAAAATTTGAAGGCAGGGAGATATTTTTATATTTAGGACTTTTTTTTCAAACTGAAATTTGATTGAGAATGCATATGACTTTCTGAGATACTTCACGTGAAAGGCTTCATACAAGTCCGTGTTTTCTAGGACATATGAAAAGCTGTTCAACTTTTGTGGGATACTTCAAAACATTTTTCAATTATGAAAGTTTCTGATGTCCTGTTCTATACTTGCTGCTTTTTCTTTAGTGGGGAAGGTATTTACTTCTGTTAGTCCACAGCTGCTTATTTTTAAGTAGAACTTCATGCATCTTTCCATGTTACAATCTAGGAGTAAAATCAGACCTTTAAAATTCCCACCTGCAGGTTTCCAAACTTCTCTGTTTGTTTTTTTTTTTTTTTTAACTGGCTGATACTGCTTTATGGCTATTTCAAAAATGTTTTGCTCCCTTGTCAGGTGATTGAGTGCCAGTAAGTGTATGTGCAGAAGTGTTTATGTAAATAGGTAAAAACGAGAGAAAAAAATTGAAGCTCATTGGATAATGGTGTTTCATTGCATTCCAGCAGTCATCAGCAGTTATTTAATATTGAAAACTGTTTTAGTTGCTGGCTTTATGAATTGTATAGAGGACTTAATGTGTCCGTATGGACTTTCTAAAATGTTATTAGCAGCTTCTAGAATTAAAATTAATTAGGATTTATAGCCTACAAGGAAAGATACTAATTTGTGTTCAGAGTGAAAGTGACTTTTGATGGACAGTAAAGGTCAAAGTTCATAATTTTCCATAATCTTTATGAGCAGCATAATGGTACTGTTTAAATATAACCAGTATGTATTAAAAAAAAACACTGATGAAGAGTCAATATACTAAATAGCTCTTATTATGGAACGGCAAATTACTGAGAGTAAAATTCCAATTACTTAGCTAAAAGAGCTTTTCAAGATAGTCTTCCTTTGCCAGGGTGTCAGATTTAACAAGCTGAACTAAATCCAGTGCATTAATCAGCTCTTCCAATTTATTACTTGCCTAAGAAGATTAGGGCAATTAATATGTGTTTAATTAGAGTCCCTTGCAGATCTGGTAAAATACATGCAGTCTGTAATTGCTGACTTCTTACTCAATTTTAATTTTTGGTAGTCTTAATTACCTGCACTTTTTGAAAATTTAATTATTCGTTGAAGCCAGCAAAGTTTAAATTTATGATGTCTAACAAAAAAAAAGCAAAAGCCTGGTGTTTCAGGTAGTGTTTGCTGA